ATATTTTTAAAAAAACTCATATCTTAAACATAAATTCATATTAACTCTAACCTAATTTCGAATAAACCAGATTTTCGTAGGAATGTACCTTTTCACAAATCCTTAAGTATATTTTGGTAACTAAATAAAAAAAGGGCTGCAGATTTATATTATGAAGTTATGTTTATTTAAAAACCTTACACACCCGTTTTCACTAACCTACAACAAGGCATAGCTTAACTAGGAAACGCCTAATATTACATATTCTAAGCAGATTAGTTTAATTTCAAATAAATATTTTTTACTTTTATCCCTTGACATATTTATGACCGTCATATACGCAAAGGCCTAGCGCAAGGGGCCGCATAACGAATATCATAGCTATAGACATTGCTTAATTTCGTTAGGTGGTTCCTAGTGGTAATTCAATGGTGAAATGTATTTTTACCTTAGGCGATTGCTAAATATTAAGGCGACACACTTGGGCGACTCCTAAGTTTAGTGTAAACGGGCATTAAATCATACAAGCGATAACTATCAGAGTTTCTCTATGGGAAAAAATATTCCTACTGTAAAAACCTTATATATAATTCTTATTAACAAGATCTGTAAAAAAATCGAAAGACGAACCTCGCACGTATATATAAACAACCGAACATTCAAAAACATAACAAATATTGGCATTAACGTCACTGGTATCCACAAACGCAAGTTTTATTACTAAGCATCAGGTTAGTCACGGAGGCTGACTTATCCACGAGTCAGACGCGCTAAATTTCTCGGTCTCATACTGCCTCGGTGATGTCATGCCGCGAATAAATCTGACCGCCCGCTCGTTGCTCGTAAAATTAATAATTTTGCCCTTTTACGGTCGATCAGGACTTATGCATATTGAACAGCCGTCTCTACCAAATACCAGTTGTAATTAAAAATTTATTGCAGAAATGAAAATATTCATTAGGTACTGAAAAGGGAAACACTACAAAATAATGGGAGTTTTCTTTTTAAAAAGTTAAATTAAGTATTTTAAAAATGTATAAGACTATGCTTATAATGAGTTTAGTAATAAAGTCTCGAGTGTGTTTTAATGTTTACACACAAAATTTCCGAGATCTGACGTCAGTTTACAAAAATATTTTTATATTCCTTATGTATGACTAATACGCGACATTGAAAACGTTTCGTCTTATTTGATTGAAGTTAAAAATAATACTTACATTTTTCTATCGCCGTCAACGTGAGACTGGACAGTGAATCCGAACATAGACTGACGGTTACCCTTATAAACAACCCTTGACGGTATGTCCACATTAAATCCTAAAACACCGGCGCACGCGCACATTAATACACAAAACAACAGCGCCATTGTCGGGACACTAATATTACTATATTAAACACTTCACAGAAACAAAATTAAATAATTCACTATTTTAAAATTACATAATTTAACCTCATGTTCGTTCGCATACGAGTTCGTTTTCGTGACGAGCGCAGGGCAAAGCGACGTGGACTCTACACGGCGTCTGGCGCGAGACTGACTGACTGAAGGCCGCCCGCCGATAGAATCTATAGAAAATGACGTGGAAAACGCTACGAGTGCGGCGAAGTTTTCGCGCGTTTTTCCAGGTAAAAACTGCAGACAGCTACGTATACTTACGCATACTTGGTAACGATTGAATTTCTTGGTACTTTTAATCCGTGCCATGGGCAAACGATATTACAAGTATCGATGTTCTTTTTTATGTTAACCCAAGCTATAGTGACCATTCCACTACCAGGAAGTTTAAGTTTTAGGTAACCAAAGTACTTACTTTTGCATCCTACCACTTGGATGATTTGTTTTTTTATTTTTTCCATCTAGTAATATAATTGCGAACTATATGGGATTAATATTATTTATCCTAAGTCCTGAAATCTATTTTTTAATGAATATGGAAATTTTCAATGTAAGAATAATTCACATTAAATAATATTGTTATTAAATTTATCAATACTCTTCTAGTACTTAAACTATTTTAATTTTAATGTTTAATGTTTAAAATAAAAAACTAATTTGATAGCAAAATATTTATTAAATAACGAATTAAGTATCTTACTTTCTACAACTTGCATAGAATATAAAAATAACATAATGTACAAAAGTATGTCTTATTCAATTAGGAATACTGTCTCTATTCCAAAACTGAAGCCGCGGTGGTTAATTATAAACTTGATAATAAAACACAAACCTTTAGTTTGTTTCTAAAAACACACCATAAGATCATTTCTACACATATTTCAATACTGTATTCATATTTCTATAAAATTAAACATCTTTATAAATATTTCCCTTTATAAATCTTGTTCAGGTAGAATTTAATCATTTTATTCAAAGTATGAAATTAACAATAATGCAATGAAATTACATATACAATATACTTAATAACTGTAGTAATAACAGATTACGAGCCTTTCTACGATGTAATTATACTATTATGAAAGTGGATCTAAGACTTTACAAAAAAAAAATACATTAAATAAAATTTAACGTTTGGGAGCCTTCTGACTTCCTATTTGTTTTTTATTTATTATTATATTCTATGTAAATAACAATATAAAATTGTGAATGAAATTTATAAACATATTGTGTTTATATTTTTGTTTAAAGTTCGTTTCTTCTTGTCTTTATGTATCTTTATCACATAGTAATACAAATCATAACTTATTAAGATCTTTTCTCCGACCTCTCATCATTACAGGAGAGATTCATGATTAGATTATGGTGAGATGAGCACTTGAACAATTCACATTATTCGTAAAGAACGCGAAGATCTTAAGACTATAACCTATAACCGTTATAAAAAGTTAATTAAAAAAACTTATATTTAATATAATTTATTTTAAATAGTCAAGGAAAAATCTAGTTTATAAACCATTTGAAAAACTGTAGAGTCGTTTTGATTTTTTTATAGAGACAATTTATTAAATAATTATGTTTTCACTAGGACAATACTTATTTAAATTAAAGTAAATTTGTTACAACCTCGTCTGAATTAATTTACATAGTATAATATTAGGTACATTAAAAAAAATCGTAAAACTTGCCTCTAGCCTACTCCAAAATACGAGGCAGCCTTTTCATCTTTTTATAGGAGGATATCAAAATTGAATGTGACAGAAACAAGATTGACTTCTTCAACTGGACCATAACATGCCATGACCATATCAAAACTACGAAACAAACAATACTGTATATAATGTTTATATAGTTTTCGCCTAGTACGTTCCTATTACGGTCATGGTATATATACAGTGGGCATTTACCTTTAAATTCAAATAACTATAGGATTGTCATTGAGCTTAAAAATGAGTGTGATATTATATCTTCTCTAAATGGATTTTAAGTTATTTTTTCATTAGGACAAGCTTTTTAAGAAATATAAAATTAAATTAAAAAAATATGAGAACTAAGCAATTTTAGCCTTTAAAAAAGTTTTTAATAACTATACTTGTATTATATCAATAGCTCATATTAAACACATAATTAAATAGAAAAATACACTGTCACATTCTTAATAATCTATATATTCTTGCTATATAGGGCTCAACCGATCTGGATATAAATGATTTAATTGAATCGAAGTTATTTTGCTATAAAATTATGTACTGCTGGAGGGGATGATAGGGGCCTCTATATCGAATCACTCGCCTCGTATCGAACGCACGTATTATATTAATATCAGCATAACAATTTTCTATTTTTGATTCCTCCCCTGCGATGGGGCAATAAATACAATTAACGACATAACAGCATTTTTTCATTGCATGATTTTCTTTAAATTACATTGTTTATATGGGCAATCAAACATGCAAAAACGCAATATAACTAGTCATAGAAGTCGAGAGTTACTTAAGTCATACGATTCCAAACGATTAATTCATAAATAGAGATCCAAGTATCTTATACATCCCATGTTTGTGAATAGAAGTAACTAACAAAATAAATGTCAGTTTAGTGGCTCGTTTACATTGGTTGAAGACGTCCGCATGCGGTAGCAGTCAATTTTTGCGGCTAGCTTTCATTGGTCGCTCATTGTTTTATTTCACCAATGAGTGAGTGAGAGTTCGCATGACGACACCATCGACCAGTGTAACTTAACCATTACAACAGTCGATTATAAAATTATTTCACACGTTCCTCTAAATTTTCAGTTATCAGGAACTGTTAACGTGTTACATCACTAGTAACTAACCTTATTTCATCGATATCACATTTCTAACGGAAGTCTTTTACCTTATCTATGTGTTTCATTCAGTTCCAATAACAAATTGCGCACTTTCATTGGACAAAAAAATAGACAATTATTGAGTATGATTCATGTTGATAACAAACGCGTAAACTGTTAATATTACAAGAAATATAAGTGTTATTTACTATTGATAAACATGACATTGTCCAGATACACTTCGTAGTATAGAAATCTGAAGCAACGAAGGTCCAGACCCGGGACAATATGGAAACATTTTCTACATTGACCCGACTCTGTATAGAACCTCAGAGAAACCAAAAATATTTTATTATAATACCAGTTTGGGATTCTAAAATAAATATACTTAACAGAGTAGTATGCACACAAATTGTCTCAGTGAATCAAACCTAATAACTCGATACGATAACTATGTATTTTGTAATCGGTCGCAAACAATATCTATCGAGGCTTAATGTGCACACAAAGATGTACGTTATAACAGTTTACTTAATTATTTTTCTCAAATAATTAGAAAATGAATGAAACACATTTCAATACAAACGATTTCATACTTAAATAGTAATCGTCTATATGTAACATAAATACACAAATATATAAATATTATATTAAAATTAAACTCATAAGATTACTTCCTAAAAATTAGGTCAGCAACATCTCATCATTTTTGGGCCTCTATATGCCTTAATAACGTTACAACTTTATCTAAGTGCAGTCTATTTTTGGTTCTGTATCCTATATAATAAATGCTCAGTGCAGTTTGTTCGGCAATGGCTAAGATTTGGAGAATTTGAAGACGCTCGGCGTGCTCTTTTTCTGAGGTTTGTTTTCTGTCACCTATGGAAGACTGGATATATTAGGTATTCATACGACCATTGCCTTTTATAAACTTTGCATTTTATTTTGTATATGACGTCGTCGTCATGAGCCTTTTAACGTCCCCACTGCTGGGGACAGACCAGTGGTTCTTAACCGGTGGTCGTTAATAATACTTATATAATTATAATGTATAGACATAAGACTACATCATATTATACAACATTGGCTCACGACTTTCTTAACCTGAGAAGAAAAAACTTGATAACCCCACCCGGGGCTGCCATGTCAAGATAGAAATTGATCCCCAATTACAAAATCTTTGAGAACCACTAGCCTAGATAGTACATCAGGACCGTTCACGAGCCCAGTGCGAATTAATAGGTATCAACTACTATAGATGCAACGGGGCAACAGCGGTTCATGTCTCCCGAAACACGATAGAGGTCGAGATAATGAATTTCGGTCACCCATCCAATGATCGGCACTAGAAAAAGATGCCTAATCTCCACACTCACCAACAGAACGATAGTTGCAGAGATTTCGAGTTACATTTAAAGTGTCTAATTTTAAATTAATTAAACAACAATATTTTATATAATAGGTTGGATTGCTAAATAAAAAATAAATAAAATAAAATAAAATAATTTGCTGATGCCATGTCCGATTGTATTATCTCGAAATGTACATCGTAATACATGTATAAAGCACACAGCAGCAAACATCATCATTCGTCTCGAACCTTATTCCCAAAGCATTGAAGTTTAAAATCAACTTGAGAAAATTTTTTTTTCTTTTTTATTTTATATTTGTATTTTAATGTATCAAATAATATAGCTTCTTGTGAATATTAATATTTAGAAACAAATAAAGACATGGATTGAATGATATCATTCTAGATGATGACTACATAAAGTTGATGTCATGCAAATAATAAAAGTGTAAACCAAGTTGTGTTAAACACGTATTGGAACCACGATTTTATTATATGAATTTAATTGTGTATCACCACAATAAGCAAATCTTGAATCACTACATAATTACTGCCATCTAATGCAGAGCAAAAATAGTCGAAGTGAACTAGGTATATTTTTAGTTAGTTAGTTTTTCGTGTTAAATTTTTAAATAAATTAAATTTTTTAAATAAATTTTTAAAGTTAACTTAATTTTTCTCCTTAACTGCTGCAAAAAGTACATTTCTGTTTCTTGTTTCTTTTACACCCGGTTTCTGAATTGAGAATTTAAAGTAAAAAAACGTCTTAAACTCTGCTTAAACATCACTTAGAAAGGTTTTAGCTTCAGGTTTTAGTTTTTTTTATGATCCCCTAGTTGACAACAGTTTGATAAAACTAAGACGTTTTGACGTGTGAAATGTAAAACTTAAATTATTGAAAATAATCAGGTGAGATTTTGTACTTTTCTCAATTTAGAAACCGTCTGTTGGTCATGTAAATATCTACTATGTGATTTGTGTGTTGGAATTGGAAAATAAACTTGTTATCCATCTAATGTTATTCAATTTTATATATTACTCGGTGAAACGTAAGGTATGTATGTACTTACGGTCCTCTCGCCCAACAGTAGTCGTGCCTTGTCTTCCTCTAGCGGTTCAGGGGCGGCGGCCGCGCGCCTGTGCAGCTGCAACTTTTGCCTGATCGCTTGTGACAGAATCACCCTGACATAACATACAACCTTATTGGGAGATGTATGAAACGAAGTGTCGCTACATCTCATTGTTCATTCATCTAATTCCTAGTTTTTAATGAAACTGCAGCTCGGTTTAATATTAAAAGAGTATCCTGCTCGAAGGATCATGTATGCAGGTATGCCATTTTTCTTGCTTAAGTGTGCTTGTTTTTTAGATTACTAAAATTTATATACTCAATACTTTAATGTTTACAATACAGTGATGGTCTACTGATTTTGATGAAATAGAGTACACAATTTTACTCATTGCCTAAAACGTAACTATTTTCTCAACAATGGTTCTCTAAATATAAGAAACGTCCAAACACTACGAAGTCAAAAGAATATTAGTACGAAAACCCGAGGAATTTGGTACAAAAAACCATTAACTTCGATAATAAAGATAGTTTTGCCGACCTGCGCGTGTCGCTCTTGATGGCCAGCAGCAGATCGAGCCAGGTCCAGGTGAAGTTGTGATACTCGAGCGTGGGCAGCACCAGCGGCAGGTCTCTCACGTCCTCCAGGTTCTTCTCCTTGCTGCCCTTGTACGACACCCTCACAGGGACCTCGGGGATCTTTATGTAGATGAACAGTTTGTTCTTTTCCGCACGTTCCTTTTTTGTTGGAAACAGTACAATTTTTGATGACAAACGAATGACGAAAATCTTATCTAAATAGCGGATCCTGAAACTTTATATATCGAATAAGAATTGATTTTTTCGGTAATGGAACACACATCAACGTTACTTATACATAGCACAGCAGCAGGCAGTTTTTGTATCAATGTTTTACATATAAAATATCGAGTTCATCATCGACGCCGTTTTAAAAATACCTTCATTTTTTCGACGTCGTCTTTGTCTTTCTTATCTCTCTTGACATAGAAGTTGGAGTTGGAGTCTTTGGTCTTCTTCTTAGTCTTCTTCGAGCCGGCGGAGACGAGGCTGGCGGTGGAGGTGGAGGGGCGTGCGCCCTCGCTGTCCTCCTCGCCCTCCTCCATGGTGTCGGGGTCCCGCTCCGGGAAACAGAACTTCAGCATCGTGTTGAAGAACTTCTTGGTCAAACCTGTTTAGCGGTAAACAAATATTAGGATCTGTGAAACTGTGAAGGAAGATCGTCAAGGGTGTCTCAGAACTATGCACTAGTCCGTCAAATTTAAATATCATTGAGTAAGGATAAATTAAATCTATCGATCAATACAATCGCTCCAATATTAATAATGGACATCAGAATCAGTGTTGCCAATTGTCGAATACAATATTTGGCGTGATTTTAATTACAGATAATAAATGAATCATAAATATATATAAAAAAAAAAAGGCCAGAGACCCTTCAGGTTCAGAAACAATGCGCCCCGTCGTCCGACAATGTCTGCCGTTAGCGAACGAGCTTAGACCGCTGCTTGTGGCATACCGTACCTATCCTAATGGGCACGATGTTGACCTCGAAGTGTTCCTTGACGGCGATGCCGCCGACGGGCGGGCGGTCGCGGCAGAACACGCGCAGCGCCGCGCGGCGGGCCAGCGGCGCGCGCCCCGACGCGGCCTGCGGGGCCAGCACCTGCGCGCGCGCACGTTTGGCATTTCAACTTTTCAGTGGTCTTATAATAATGTATATATCGAGTAGACAGAGAACTGGCGTTAAGAATAGGCGCGAAAATAAATATATTATTATTTGATATTATTATTACAAAAGTACATGCGGCTCAACCAAAATTCATCCCTAGAATGATATGCAGGACTTTGGAAATTTAAAAAACATCCGAATTTTAATAGAGATGAAGGATAGACACCACCGGCTTGTGATCCAGTAATTAGTCAAATAAAATCTCAATCCAGATCACACATTGCAAAACCAAAAGATACAGTTAGTTCATTCTGTAAATATTTAATTCACTTTTCTTGTAGAAGTTTGTTTCGCCACTTCTTCTCAGACAAGATTCCCAAATTATGAACTGGTAGTAGATTGCGATAGCCAGGGGTAAATAAATATGTCAAATGTATGTTTTTAAATAATTTAATTGAATAAATGTAAACGTTGCCATAAAATATATATGTATGATATTATATTTTGTATTATACGTAAATAAAACTAAATACAAACGCGTTGAAAACGTTTCAAAGTTGTTTCATTTATATATAACTAGCTTTCGCCAGCGGCTTCGTCGCCGATTGGCGGATAAATTTGACAATTTATTGCTAAGATCAAATTTTATATTTTATACACAAAGAGGATATTAAAAAACGGCCGTTTAAGGAAATTGATAAAAACGATCTGCCCATTTACAACTCAAATTTCTTAAATAACTTAAAAACTATTTAATTAATATAAAATGTTTGAACTTTACACCATTTTAATTCGACATTTTTATTACGCAAAAGCTTGTATTCTCAATTTTCTAATTTAAATACACTTATAAAAATCGTGTAGTTGCGTTTAGATCATCAACTTACATATATCATCATTCATCAATCATCGAATAGACAGACAAACGAGTGATTCTATAAGTGTTCTGCTTGTATTAAAAAAACTGCAAATTCAATAATTTCAAGTGCTCAATAAATTAACAAAGGAAACGCTGCATTCTGTTGTTTCGCAACCGCAAAGGGGACTTCAGTTTGAGAGTGTACATTAATATAAAACAGATATATTTTTGTCGCGACACAATACAATAACCTAACATCTCTCATTGTACTAACTCGCTAAATGAAACTGATATCTTTCTGTCACGACACAAACAGAAAATATTACCACTTTTAGTCTCTAGTAGTTCAGTTGATAGAAGATATACTACTTATATTAATTTAGTTATAAAATTCTATTACAGCGGTTTATCTATAAAAGCGTAATAGATAGTACCGATACATACCTCAGGGAACGGTTCGTTCGGCAACAAATTGGTAACACGCACATATCCAAGTTCCAACTGGTGCTCCACCGAGTCATCTGATCTGGACGTTTTAGTATACCTGATAATAAGAAATATCATTTATTTATTTATCAGACTCTCACAAGAACTAGTACACTAAAACTACACTTAAAATTAAATCATGTCAAGATTATATACTAAGTGTCCCATTACTTATAGGAAGGCACCGCTTGCATTGATAGATCAGTACACACTCCTCCCATACAAAGGCGCTTCAGGCGAGCCATAGCAGTACGCTAACAGCTACATTTACAGTATCCCTGGTATTGCTATGAGAGACAAGCACGCGGGTCACAGCCGAGCGACCAAAACATTCATATGTCAGAACACGTTTATACCGGCTACAGTTTTAACTTAAAAAATAAAGAAAAATAATAAAAAAAAGATATAGTACACGTTACAATTCTAGTAAATGAACAGTTTCTTCATAGCAGGCATTGATGTCAAAACAAGGTCGATATTATTTCGGTATTCCTTATATAGGACAGTGCAACTTTAGATTTGTACGACGAAAATATAGAGTAGATGCAAAAATTTGTTACTGCCTAATCTCGACAAATGACATGGGGTATTAAAGTGTAATTTAGATCGGATCCCATCACAAGTCTTTTTATAAATATAATATCTGCTATTTTTCTTCGCGATCCTAGTGTAGACATACGAAAATGTTTTAAACGATCCTCATATAGTTTGACTATTTTTCTCAATTTACACGAAAATGTCAAGTGCAGTGCAGTTTCTGCATACCCTTAATAAAAATCCAAGCATTTTTGAAGCCTTTAAGACACAGGTGTTATCATTGACTATAATTATATTAAAAAACGAATGACAACAATAATAAGTTCTCAAGCTGCGTTACGATATGAGAGATATGCACGAGAATCGGCGGTACACAAGGGTACAGTGACAGTTACAGAAAGTTGGAGAGCAGCAGGTCTGCGATGCCGAGCTGCCCGTCGGCGTCGGTGAGGCGCCACCTGGCGGACTTGAAGCAGATCTCGTTGTACCGGTGCGGCGCGCCCCCCGCGCCCGCGCCCGCGCCGCCCTCCCCCTCCGCGCGCCCGCCCGCCTCGCGCCACGCGCGCACCATCGCGTCCAGCTCCTCGCCCAGCGACCACACCACCTCCTTGCACTCGTTCACCTGGCCGTGCGCACCCGAAGTATTATGTATTTATAAAAAATTGAGTAGCTCGGTGGCGTAGTGGATAAGCGCCGCGGCCCGCGATCGTAGTCGTTAAGCAACTTTCGCGTGAGTCGGTCACGGGATGGGTGACCAAAAAAAAATATTATCTCGAGCTACTCCGTGCTTCGGAAGGCACGTTAAGCCTTTGCCTCCTGGCTGCATTTGCAGTCGTTAATACCCTCCGATCCGCATTGGGCCAGCGTGGAGGGTCATAGCCCATCCTCCTTAACCATCCATAAGGAAAGCCCTGAGCCCCTGCAGTTGGGATGTAAAAGAGCTGGTGATGATGATGATGAGATCATACCTAACCAATAACGGGACCAATTAGTTTTCCGAGTGAAATAAAATTTAAATTATCTCGAATCGGTGACCTGTGTATGCTTTCGGTGTTTCAGAATTCGATAGTACGAGGACAATTAATGTATCGATCGAAATTATCTTATACATTACTTTTATTTATTTATTTGAACAACCAACACAGTCGAACACTGTAAATAACTTAATAATAATTAACAAAGGCATTGGTGCTGCTTTAATTAAAGGTTACCACGATATGCATATGACAACGTAACCTAGAAGCCCATGGCCCCAACAATAAACAAACTTAAATGTAATGACAGCGTAACATACTTTTTAGATTAAAAATTAAAAGAAAAGAAACTTAATACATAAAATCTAATAGAGTAAAAGACTATGGTTATTAAAATGTTGCTATTGACTTCAAGTTACACATTTAATTAACTACTATATGATGGTTATTACACTGCAAATTTTAAGAATCGAAGCTAAACTGTTACGAAACAATTAAAAATAACGGAACAAAATGGTCCACAGACGGCAACACTTCATCGGTATGTTGTTGAGCTATTTCTTAAAATTTGACAAATTAAATCTAAAAATGCACATTACGGCGATACACATTCATCGTCTTTAATCCATTATATCTATCATTAAATAGTCTGAATGACTCGTTGGATCTAATGCTAATTGCATAACGCTTTCCATAAATGTTTGCTGGATACTACGAACAACTAAACTATCTAATATTCCCTTTTTTCGATGATTTTTAAAGAAGCGGTTTTCAGTTTTATTTACATAGATGTAGTCCCGTCGGCCTGTATGGGATTTTAAACATGTGGGCTAAATCTTATGATAAATGTGCGTCGTGTAAATCTCTGTTTATCTACGTATATCTTACAAATTATGAAATAATAAATAACATGTGTAACACTTAATGCATAAGTTTTGTTTATACCGATTTAAAGTATATTTTATCGCTTTTAATTTTGTATGTGCATGAGGTGGTTTGCCTTTAATTGATTGTACATTTAGCGTTATTTGTGGAAATAATGTTCTATGTAAATTGTCATCGTAACAACGATCCCAATCATATTTCTTGTAAAGAACACGTACATGCATTGCATAAATAATAACTTTTTAATTTCCTGTTAACACTTAAGTTGCAAAAACTCAATAAAGTATATTCGAAATTAACAGCAGTGCAAAGTTCAAATGATATAGCACTCTCAATCACATACCTGATCATCGAGACTCTTCAATTCCTCGACAGCGATGGGATCGTCGCCTGTGATGGAGCGATTCTTCAAATAATACTCCTTCTCGAGGCGACGCAGTCTGGCTAATGACTCGCGGACCTAGAAAAGATTAACCAGGTTACACCAAAATATACGTTACAAGTATAATGACTACATTATCTTCAGCCTCATCACTGATCAATACTGTAAATAAAAACCAAAAAAAAATATCTTTAGAAGGAATATCACATTACATTTTCAGATGTTTCTATTCGTTTACATACTCTATATAAAACGAGTTTACGATATTGATCATCTCAGAATTTATAAATGATGTCAGATGTTACAACACTATTAGTATTAGTGAGACACAGAATAAAAATGATACGACCAACCAATACCTACCACGGAATTACTATTGTACGAGACATCGTACATAAATATTATAATAATCACGTAAAACTGCATATCGGCATTTCTGCCGTGACAAAAATTTCTGTAATTACCTATTAAGTCAATCAGTGCAATAAACGTATTCTATCAACGCGGTCGTATCATTATCATAGCAGTTTCCTAGCACAGCACTATCATAGTACAGCATCCTTAAGCACCCTTTAGCATATTGTATTAATGTGGGGAAAACACCCTACAACTATTGTACTGATAGCAAAAAATTATCCATTGCAAATTATTAATTATCCAATTTATTTTAAATTAATTTTAAAATTTAAGTTTAATTTAACAATATTCTATTATTGAATCATGTATATTTTAGAAAATAATGTAATGTATTTATAAATTGTAAGTAAAAATAAATTTACCCTAATATATTTTTATCTTTAATTGACAATCTTATTTTTATATTTTATTGTAAAATAAAACTACCTCTTGCAAGGTGTCACACGATCTGTAAACTGATGTAAGGGGGCGTCCATAAATTACGTGAGGTGCTTTTTAAATTTTCTGTCCCTCCCTCCCCCCCCTGGTGAGATGTCGTGAGATTTTATTCAACCCCCTCCCCCATCCCCAATCTCACGTGAGATTTTTCAAAATGCAATTTGATGAGTACTTGCGAGTATTTGCCTTGTTGTAGTATCGAGTATCACTTTTGAAAGTATCGATACCTACTCGGTATCGAAAGTATCGTTCGAACCCTACAAATATGGTGGATTGACATTCAGTAGATGTATAGCGTCGAAGTATGAATGAAATTATTTTCTTTTGAACGAATTAGTGAATGATCTTAATCGTATACGATTACGCTTAAGATTAAATCTTAAGCATGTACAGTCTGGATTAAATGAACCAAAATAGTATTTTTTTTTTATTCAATCAGAAAAAAAATTGCGTGATATTTGCCGAGACCCCCCCTCTCTCCAACGTAAGATTAGATGAGATTTGCCTCGACCCCTTCCCCCCCTTAAACATCTCACGTAATTTATGGACGCCCCCTAACATCTTTATGACATGCTATGAATAAGTAAAAAAATATAATTAATAATTTCTGCAAGCTCCTAAAGTATGTGGCGATGTTGCATATTGCTTTCGAGGCAAATATTAAACATCGTGAAAGGGAGAAATTAAACCAAGGCAAACTATATTATGTAATTCATCTTAACGTTCGCACAAATATATCAACAATTTCGCCATTTCACATAAGTCTTCGGTAGTATAGTGGTAAGTATCCCCGCCTGTCACGCGGGAGACCGGGGTTCGATTCCCCGCCGGAGAGTACTTTTTGTTTTATAATTTCTTTTTTTTTTAATGTTATAAACCTTCCAAACGTAATAATTTTTTTTTTTTGAAATACAACTTATTTTTGAAATAAAAGATACATATCATTTTTTAATAAATTACTAACATAAAAAGATCAAGATTCTAATCTTTTAAACCCAATGATTAAAGTGAATCAGATGTTTCTTCTCTAAACAATGGTTGAGTTAGTATGTTTTTTATTCCTTTTTTGATCTGTTATATTCACACACAAAGAGAATTGTCAATTTCTGTCTTACTCTACAGGCATTTGACTTATCAATTATCAGTCAGACTTATCAGTTGTGTTATTTAGAATAGTAGCCTCTTAAGGCATTTTAAGCCTCCATATTATTGTGATTATATTTATTTTTTAATTAAATATGAAAAATAATATCTCAACAAATTGAATACTGAACTTCTAACAAAGAAATTATTTTCAATGTCAATGTATATATATTTTTACCATCGGAAAATATAACGTTGAAGATTTATTTTTAATATATTTTAATCTTTGGTTTTCAAAACTGTTTGGAAGTCTGTTTATTAATGGTAAAGTTAAAGTATTTTTATTGCAATATTTTACCTACTACCTATAATGGAAAGGACTTTTTCGCTGAAATGTTACCGTTGTTGTATGTACTTGAATATTTTTATTTATTTAGAATAGTAGGACTGTATTTTGGAGGATGAGTTTGCCATTGAACGTTTTTTCATAGGTGTGTTCAGTTCAACTGCCATACTGGCAGTATTCAACGTCACGAAAGTACCAGCTGCAGTATTTTGTTACCGATACGACGGTTCTTTGTCTTCTGAATACGCATTCATAGAATCTTCCGTACATACACAACATATTAACATTTATTTGTAAAACATCAGCATTTCAGAAACAAATTTAAACAAAAACTATTTTTAAGATGTCATTGTGATGAATTTTATACGTGTATTTTATTCAGAAATGAAAGAACGCTACGCTCATGCGCATGCGCAAAACAAACAGAAATATTATTGATGTTCGATATTCAATACTGTGAGCGAAAAACGGTCCGGGGCAATGAGGCAGGTATTCAGAAGGTTATGCGTTCACCGATATCGGTATCAGTGACAGAGGCCCCAGGTGTGAGTGGGTACCTGCGTCTGCAGCTTGTGTATGAGCTGCCTGGGGTCGCGGTCGCGGTGCAGCTGCAGCTGGAAGCGCATGCGCGCGCGCCTCTCCAGCGTGCGCCGCCGCTCCGGCTCCACGTGCAGCACCACGTTGTTCACCACGTCCAGGAGCATCGCGTACTGTACATACGCATTACAATTACTGTACTATACAAGAGCAAACCCTATTTGCTGCAATCACGTCATTTAAAACATATCTAACCTACACCAGATTCATCTACGAGTAAAGACAGAGAGTATCGGCCGCCACGTGGCAGCGAATCGGTCCTCTTTTACTTTTTAACATTAAAATTGCGCTGATATACATGATAAACTTAGACTGAGTAGCTCGGTGGCGTAGTGGATAAGCGCCGCGGCCCGCGATCGTAGTCTTTAAGCAACTTTCGCAAGGATCGGTCACGGGATGAGTGACCAAAAAATTATTATCTCGGGCTACTCAGTGCTTCGGAGGGCGCGTTAAGCCCTTGGTCCCGGCTGCATTTGCAGTCGTTAATACCCTCCAATCCGCACTGAGCCAGCGTGGAGGGCTCCTTAACCATCCATAAGGAAGGCCTGAGCCCCTGCAGTGGGGACGTAAAAGGGCTGGTGATGATGATGATGATGATGATAAACATACACAATACATAATCAGACACGAGTAGAAAACAATAATTATTCTTAGTTTTATAATCATAAGGTGTAAATACAACGCATTAGACAGGTCACGTCAAACTAACGGCCCGCGGGCCCCGAATACGGCAAATGTCAACAACCTCTGCCAATCCATTTTTTTTTTCCAGTGTTAAAAGGCCATGACTTTACCATCTTTAAATGTGGGTACATTTAAAGATGGTAAACAAATTCATTAAGAATAGATTACGCATTTTTATTTTGTCAGCATTATGGAAGCGATACAGCATGTGTTAGTACGGGCGAATGGCTTGTTAAATATCGGAAACGGTAGTGTTAATCCTACTAATAAGTCGAGGACAGTCCGCTTCACTTCTGACAATCTTGTATATGAAAGTTAAAAGCACGGGGACACCGGTGAGTGTCATGGTGTGTACCTGCAGCGAGTTGGTGCATACGTCGAGGTCGTGGTGCATGAGCGTGAAGGAGTCGTAGGGCTGCTGCTGCGCGCCCCACCCCTCCCCCGCCGGCGCGCGCTCCGCCTCTTCATGCGACAGGTAGTAGAACTCGCACGCGCAGCGGGACACTATCCTTTGTAACTGGGCGCATCGATAAACACACATAAGCGGACATGAGGCGAATATTCAGGGATGTGCCGCGGATAACCGAGGGGGGGAAAGATCTGTAACTGTTATTTTTAGACTGATCTAGAATGCATCTTGCATGTTATTGAATTTCAATAAATAGGCGAATAAAATAAAAGCAATAACATAATTAAAGTATACGACGGATGGATCATGATAATTGCAAGTACAATAGTACCATACCTTGACGTTATTTTTCCAACTGAATTTGATATTTCTTTATTTCAGTGTGTGGCAAATTCAACCATTCAACCATGGATAGACACATTGGGTAGCGCTTTAAGATTGTTGAAACCTTTTACAACAATGCGCGTTCAAATTATAATGCATTTCGTGCTCTTCGAGATATTATATAATTCTCTAAAAACTTTTTGTGATTATTTACTGATTGTAATCAGTTAACATCGTGCATACTTGTTGGAATGTTCAATCAAATATTTCCTCTTTATAATATTATTAGCTAATCGGACAAACGCAGCCCTGTCTTAATTATGAATATTGAATTCGAACAGGTTTCTTTACATCCTATTTGATGGTATTTGCAGCACGCATTCTGTTAATTTTAAGTCAAATGTAGTAACGTTACACTATAAAAGTTAAAATAAAACAAAGCACCAAGATTAGATTAGAAATAATTTTATATGGTGTTTAAATTTTTTAAATTTTCCACACAATATTTTTATTTTTTGTTTCACCTTTTGATTATAACAAACACAACAAAAAAAGAATTAGTGAAATCGGTCCAGCCTTTCGCATTTATATATGTATATATAGATTATAGATAACTACAATGGTTAAAGTACCTGCCCTGCTTGTCCTATCCCATCTAAATATCTACCTTTTCGAATGTGAAAAATGTTTATTAGGCGTCTATGTTGAAATGGCACATATAATGAGTGAGTGAGTACCTGCGCGAGTCCAGTGTCCGCGCCGGGCCCGACGGTCCGTCCGATGACGCCGCCCGCGGAGTGCCCGCTGCCCACCAGCCGCGGCACGTCCGGCAGCGTGCTGATCTCCGCGCCCGCCCACCGCTCCGAGATCTCCTCCACCGACACCCACTGGATGTTCTCTGTGCCAACACAACAACGTACAGACGCGTCACAAACACAGCGGAGCTGCCTCACTGTACTATATACAGCACGTACCTAGCAACTGGTCCCGGTCCGCGGCGCTGACGGTGGCGTAGTACTGCATGGCGGAGAGCGCGCCGCTCCAGGCCACGGCGGCGGGGCTGCCTCACTGTACTGTATACAGCACGTACCTAGCAACTGGTCCCGGTCCGCGGCGCTGACGGTGGCGTAGTACTGCATGGCGGAGAGCGCGCCGCTCCAGGCCACGGCGGCGGGGCTGCCTCACTGTACTGTATACAGCACGTACCTAGCAACTGGTCCCGGTCCGCGGCGCTGACGGTGGCGTAGTACTGCATGGCGGAGAGCGCGCCGCTCCAGGCCACGGCGGCGGGGCTGCCTCACTGTACTGTATACAGCACGTACCTAGCAACTGGTCCCGGTCCGCGGCGCTGACGGTGGCGTAGTACTGCATGGCGGAGAGCGCGCCGCTCCAGGCCACGGCGGCGGGGCTGCCTCACTGTACTGTATACAGCACGTACCTAGCAACTGGTCCCGGTCCGCGGCGCTGACGGTGGCGTAGTACTGCATGGCGGAGAGCGCGCCGCTCCAGGCCACGGCGGCGGGGCTGCCTCACTGTACTGTATACAGCACGTACCTAGCAACTGGTCCCGGTCCGCGGCGCTGACGGTGGCGTAGTACTGCATGGCGGAGAGCGCGCCGCTCCAGGCCACGGCGGCGGGGCTGCCTCACTGTACTGTATACAGCACGTACCTAGCAACTGGTCCCGGTCCGCGGCGCTGACGGTGGCGTAGTACTGCATGGCGGAGAGCGCGCCGCTCCAGGCCACGGCGGCGGGGCTGCCTCACTGTACTGTATACAGCACGTACCTAGCAACTGGTCCCGGTCCGCGGCGCTGACGGTGGCGTAGTACTGCATGGCGGAGAGCGCGCCGCTCCAGGCCACGGCGGCGGGGCTGCGCCTCACGCGCTGCCGCACCTCGGCACGCGCGGCGCACAGCAGCACGTAGCCGCGCGTCTCGCACCCCTTCAGGACCACCTGAGAGTTCACCAGCTCGACTGCGACAACACACGACGACCGACCGGTTACTTCCAAACGTAGACATAAACGTTTCAACACTGCCCCTATTATCGACGATAACTCTTGTGTTCGACAGTCGAAAGAAAATAGCACATTTGATTTCGAAGATATATTTGTGAATTCCCGAAACTGACGAATGCGAAAACTATTATATATGCAACTGAAAAAAAATCGTCTGGTCCTGAAAAAGAGTCCGAACTGCCAGATTTTTCCGTCACATTACAATAGCAGATTAAAAGTCGTCAATAAAACAAGAACAGCGCCATCTAACGATCGATTATGAAATAATAGTTACGATATTAGTGCGTTATGATGGTTATAACATGCGAGGCGGATTTTCTGCCCGAGCCGAAGGCGAGGGCGTAGAGCCGAGCATGCTATAACCAATACGCACGCATATCGTACGACGTTTTTTAACACATTTGACATTTCGATAATTGATCGATATTATGTAAATGTTAGATTTGAATATCATTATAAATATATTTTATTATATTTATTTTTATTTAATTTACAATTTATAGCACTACAAACTAATTGATGGAAAAGGCATCAACGACAAGATTTCAGTGAACGCGTACGCCTCAAATCACTAACTTTCAATCAGACGGTGAGAATAACTAAGAAATACGTTTAAATAACAGCGAGTTGTGGATAAAAATGGGAGAACAAATCACATTTCAGATATTCAATACCAACTAAAACATGAATTTATAACCCCGATAGAAAAAGATCAAAGTTCCCCAAAAAATAACCATGTTTGCATTTCTTGTAGCACTAGTCTATCTGCTACACTTTCTAATTTAAAGCTACGATAAAATGCACTGAGACATAAACCAAAGTCGTAAAGAAATCTTTCTCGTAACAAAACGGACAACTCACTAAGGCAAGCGGTATGGGCGTTGTCATCGTCGAGCACGTGCTTGGCGTGAGCGTGGGGCGCATGAGGGGGGTCGTCTCCCAACTCGTCCGAGAACACGACGGGAGCCTCGCCCCCCGCCTCCGCCACCAGCGCCGCCAGCATGCCGCCCGCGGAGCCTTCACTCCCGCTAACCTGACACTATCAACCATACCACAATTCAATTATTTACATTACTCTCTAACACTTGTACCTAAGATAGAACTTCGTGTGTTTATTATTTTCCTTACAAATGGACTACTTCCGCCTATTAATAAAACGAAGATAAAATGAACCATATATCTACCTAGATATAAAGATGAGCGGAGGAAAAATCCCGGCTTATTTCCTATTTGGGAAAAACACATGTCGAGTTTTTATTTTAGTATAATAAAATTATTTCTAAAATAATTATTAATTGTGTCTTAATGTTATCAATTACAGCATTTTGAATTTCATCATCAGCCCTTAAAGACTTCCAATGCAGCCGGAACTGACGGCTTAACGTGCCCTCCGAAACACAAAGTAGCTTGGTAATACCGAATACTACTTCCGCCTCGACCCTTTTCTCTGATTTTGCTCTACTAAACTAATACTGTGTATCTGTCCTTAAACCTCAAATTCGCCTAAAGATACATATTATGTAGTATATTCAATCAGTCCAGAATAAAATAAGGAAAACTAACATTTAAAACTGTTGCAAAATGTTGAAAAGTAAATTCTAGTTACTTAATATAGAAATATTAAATAAAATGAACATTTTGTCATTTACATCTGAAACAAAACAAAACCTATTTTGTTTCAACACTGACCTGTGCAGTGGGAGGGGGCGAGACCACATCCGCCTCCCGCTGATGTTTCGGTGATGTGTTCATTTTCTCTTCTTCCTTCAGAGCTTTCGTTGAAAGATTCTTTTTCAGTTGCTATGTAAATTAATGTTATATCATTTATTCAAGGTATATACTAAAAATGGGCAGTGTACTCGTTTTTACCCAGTATAATACCCAATAACATAAGCGGCAAATATATACTACCCACTCGTACTTCGGCGTTTAACTTCATCAAAACGAAAAAGTGGCATATCAAATCAATTCTAACTGACAATATATGCACAAGTAATTTAATAAAGCTAATTTAACCGATGCTAGCGTCATAAAATTTGTAGTTGACACTAATTATCAAAACAATGTCTAAATCGATTTCTGTAAAACTATGAATAAAACTTCGATCAACAATACGAGACAACGCCCTGCATACGAATACAATATTAAAAAACGGCACCAAACACTGCGATAACCAAGAAACATAATACCAGAGAGTATATTCTGTGATAATACTCTAGGCGACAACTGAACTTCGGAAGTGGGTAAGTATGGAGTTACATTTTCAATTTTATATTTCTTATTTAGGTAGGTCTAAATTATCAAAGTATATAACTACACATATATTTTACTATAATTATAAAATCTATTACTTTGCACACTTATTATAATTTAAGAATTTAACGTTATAATGTTAAGAAGGAAGAATAGCGGAATAATCTTTCAGTACTATCAAGGTAGTGGTGGTTTTTCTCACTATCTAAGGATTTTTTACATAAATAATTCTAAAACAAAATGTAATTTAAATTAAACATAGTAATATAAATTACGTTTAAATAAGTTATGTTTATTATAAAGTTATCTCTTCGATTTATTTTTGATCTCAGTCGTTTCTTATTTTGCATATGCAGTGCAATCTTACGTCAACAAAACATTCAATCACTAAATTAAGTAATTCTGTTTTATGGTTTAATACGTCACTTTCAGGGAACTCATCTTTTGTTTTAAATAGATACTCTAAATACATATAAAACAACCTGACCGGTACAAACATGTTCAATTAGTGTTCAAATTTTTGGTAAAAAAAAAATTGTAATAGTACTCTACTCCTTAGTAACTGTCTCAGAACATCGAATATTTAAAATTAAACAAAATGAGACCGCACTTTGAATTGAAGCGTTATCTCGTCGACCATTTATAAGACTCTTACCGGACATCTAGTTGTATCGTTTATCGAAGAAATAAAACTAATAATAAAGTCGATGTTTACTTTATTAACTGTCAAAACACACCTTTACAAAAAATATCATAATAAACCATATTCGGATACCATCTACCAAAACAAACTCGAACTGAGCGTCTCATACATTGCTAAAGAGAAATAGACGAAGTAACTAAACCGAACCAAATATTCTGTTTAGCTGTAGTGGGTACCTCTATAATAGTTACCTGAGTCTTGATGTATGTGTCTATGAGCGCGAAGGCGAGGTCCCTGTTGAGCTTGGTCCAGGCGCCGCGCAGGTCGTGCACGGCCAGCCTGTGCGTGGCGCCCCCGCCCCCACCGCCGCCCCCGCCCCCGCCCCCGCACACGCCCCCGCCCGCCTCGCGACCGTACGACACTCGCCTAACGGACACGCAGTACCACTTCTCCACGGCCGGAGGACGAAGCACTGAGTTCTTAAACATACCAACACATAATAAGAAAACCAAAATCGGAAACGAAAACCTGTTAAGTAACGTTTAAGTACAGTTTGAGACGTACTCAACATTAAATTCTTTATTCAGAAACCGGGTGTTACTTATCTGTCTAAATAAATAAGTGGAATTAAAACAAGACATATTCTCCAAAATTAAAAAAATCCTTTTTCCTAAAATGTGGCTTTGAAAAATAGTGGTCTATGTATTGGCATATTTAAATTCTTAAAACTTTTGTTCCATATTTAACTCATTTCAATAAATTTGATAACCATTGTACACTTAAGGTTTAGTATAATTCATTGTGATTAACCAAAAAATGCAAACCGTTTAATGAATATAACTAAAAAATGAAAAATATCACATAAAAAATGAAAAATATCACATAGAAAAATATGTTTATGTGTGGAAAAAACACCAATTTGAAGAAAAAAAATACCTCAATTATCTAATAGTACGAGGGTCAAACTGAAAGTTCTTAGAAAATCAAAAACTGATTACATTAGCCAGTTATTAGTTTTATTATATCTTTTCAAAATATTGTCCATTCACGTCAATACACCGCTGCATGCGATGGAACCACTGGGAAAAGCACTTTGCCCACTCGTCCTTAGGGGTCTCTTCAATGGCATCGCGATACGCAGCCACCGCTTCTTCAGCATTCATAAACCGCTTTCCTTTAAGTTTTTCTTTAATTTTTGGAAATAAATAAAAATCACAAGGCGCGAGGTCGGGGCTATACGGCGGGTGACCCAGTAATTCAACGTTTGATGTCGCCAAATAGTCGATCGTTCGCTTGGCGGTGTGCGACGAGGCGTTGTCGTGGTGAAGGAGGATCCTACTGCGAGGTCGTTTCTCTCGAACTTTTTCCAAGACAAGTGGCAAACAATTGGTAGTGTACCATTCTGCAGAAACTGTTTTTTGATCCTCTAACACAATTGTTGCAAAATGACCTATCCTTCCAAAGAACGAGGCCATCATTTTTTTTCCCGCACTTCGATCTCTCTTCACTTTAGTTGGCAACTCCTCGAAAGGAAACACCCACTGAGCAGATTGTCTTTTGGTTTTAGGATCATAACAGTAAATCCAGCTTTCGTCACCTGTTAGTATGTCGAACACAGCATTTGAGTCACCTCCGTTAAATCTTTCAATCATTTTACGACACCAATCCACACGATGGAGTTTTTGAGCCTCAGTCAAATTATGAGGTATCCACCGGGCGCAAAGCTTCCTGACCGCTAAATGTTCGTGGAGGATTTTGTGCACTTGACTCATACCGATGCCTAAGCTTGTCCGAATCTGTTGATAGGTCACTCTTTTGTCAGTCTCTATCATACGCCGCACAACACAGATGTTATCTTCAGTCGTCGCCGTAGAAGGCCGTCCCTCACGTAAATCATCAGTGAGATTAGTGCGACCACGTTTAAACTCATTAAACCAGTTGTAAACAGTCGCACGAGATGGGGCTTCATCGTGAAAGGCCAATCGTAGTCTATCATAACTTTCTTGTTGACTTAAATGACATCGAAAGTCATAAAAAATCATTGCACGAAAATTTTCTCGTGTTAAATTCATGATGACGTGACACAGACAATTTTCAATTTGCCGCCAAATCGTAAAACAAATGACAAATGAATGAAATATATACTCAGTAATATTGGCAAAGAGTTATATTTTCAAATTTTAGAATTATTTTTTTATTATATTGTTTATAAGTGGCCAGTTCTAAGAACTTTCAGTTTGACCCTCGTAGTGTTACCTCATCTTTATCGTTAGCAGGCGCGGTGGTCTTGAGCCATATCTCTGCGTCGTTAAGGTCGCAGTTCATATACACGATAGTCCAGTTGGCCCGAGGCCGACGGACCAGCCCATCCGAGGAGGGAACTAGCGTGAGACGGTGTTTAGAGCCACAAGTGACTCTTGCGCATAACATTTCGATGCCGCGTTGCATAGATGAAGACGACCAGTAAAACACCTGGTAGAATGAACGAGTTTAGACATCATATTAATATTACTTACTTTGTTACAGATAACTCAATTTTATTTTAAAATCAAAAAGACTATTTTAAGTTTTACGGACAAAAAAAAATGAAGGAGGATTCTTTTACTTAATCAGCTCAGGATGAGAACATATCACGAAAACCATATGCGATATATTATATTATGCGGATTGAACAATACAGAAAAACAACGAAAGTCGATTGTCGTAACTGAAATGGAAATGAAAAATATTCTTAATGAACAATACTTAAAAATCCACTTGCCCCTGGCACAAAGACGGGACTGAATGCTTGAAAAATTCCTCAGTCCTGTTAGGTCCTGGGTAGCTCAGTGGTAAGAGCAGACGCCCGGATTGCGAAAGGTCATTGGGTTAAAGTCCCATCTCAATGGGGCAAAGTGGCTTTTTAAGCATTTTTCATTCAAATTTTTGGAATGATGGTGAATTAAAGGAAGTTTTTTAGATGGTGGGGACTGGGTGAAAGTTGATATAGAAAAGAAACAGCATAGACAATAAAGTTAATCACCTGCAAATTGTGCAGCGTTAAAGACATGCTGACATTTCTATAATGGCGCGACAATTGTTGTTTACGTGGCCGCACGTTGTTGAACACACGGCCGCGTCTCGTAGGACGAGTCACTCCTGACAGGATCAGCTTCAGACTCTCGAACCACCTAAACGAAGATACAAATAACTCTGTATGTGAGAAAATGTATAAAATAGCGGGAGTCAGTCGATTATCAAATTGCATAATTACGGATTTAAATAATTAATAAAAAAAAATATAGTAGATGTTGAGTACTGACTGGCACACGTGTAAAGTAGACATGCCTTTAGCTTTTTTCATATTTATGTCATCTTACAATGAAAGTATAAATAATAAGTTACCTGAGAGTGCTGCCATAAAGCAATAGTACTGGTCCGTCTCTGTCTATGGGTTTGGTTTCCATGCTAAGATGCAGATCCAGACCTTGCGACCGGAACGCTCGGTACGAGTCGTGTTCCTATGTGGACAAATAAAAACATGATATTTTGTTTGTTGTTGTTATCTCTCTCTCTCTCTCTCTCGCTCTCTCTGCCTCTCTCCCTCTGGATCCTCTGAGACATGCTAACTAAAAACCTTCGGTTTGGAGTAGCCAACTACTCTTGAGTCCCGAGACTCCGAGAAAGACTGCGTGATTGTGACTCTTGTTCTTCTTTGTACTCCTTTTGTACTTTGATACGTAAGTTGCTGAGTATGAAAATTAGAATTTATTATTTAAATAGGGCATTTATTGTTATGTGACACTGTATATTGTTTCTCTGCTTTACGGTGTTCTGTCGGGTCGCCCCCGCCCTGCAGCCGCGCCTCCCCGCCACGTACCTGGTTGCTGGAGTACTCGGGCAGCCTGGTGGGGGCGCAGGGGGCGACGGCGTGGTGGTCGCGCGGGTCGCCCACGCTCTGCCAGCCGAGCTTCACCGACAGCCGCAGCGAGGGCACGCGCAACACGCGGCAGTCGTCGTACTTGCTCGCCGTACGAACGAACACGTTCAACTCGCCTAAGAAACCCAGTTTGCCTGCGAGAACGATGAATTAACAATTAACTTCTGAACGATGTATAATTTTATTCTCAACAACTTAAGGCTACTGCTTAAAAAAATATCTAAATCTTTGTATCGAGAATTCGATGTAAAAGACTAATTTCCTTATTACGATGATATATTCTTACTCCTTCCGCCAAATCACCGCGACTAGGATTATCCACCTGATAGAAACTGGGTTGACAATCTATACCGTCTATATGTACATTTTTAATGTCCGATTTATAGCTGTATATGGCTATCTGTTTTCTTGGGACACGATAGAAATTGATCTTTCTTAATTTTTTCGAGTCTTATTGTTAAACAAGATAACAGAAAAGACGCTTGTCAATGAAAATTATTATCGACACCTTTGAAATATAAACCTTGATACGTTACGTTAAGGTTCGTAGTATGACTCTGTCATACTACGAACTGTCAAGAGGTACCTTGATGCCGCGGGCATTGAACACGGCGTGCACTCATCAACCAACCAAGTAATACGATTTACGCACGAAACCAGAATAATAAGGGAGTTGATATTTCTTCGCATGTTTCAAAAATTTAACTTGTAAGCGAGTACATTATTTTTTAACTTAAAAATAATTCTTAGGTACCTTGTTTTTTTTTAGATTTCCATAACACGCGTGCTTAAAATTAAGTTGGGATTAATTTTGCTATTGTAAAAAAATGCGTGATTCACAGCGTCGACATAGGATTAAAGGTTTAATCAAAGAAAACTTTTGTTGCCTTTTGAATTAAGTTATGAATAGCAGTGCTTTGCAACGTATGTAATGTCTTATAATTAGCTACTTCACTGTTTTCCGAAAATTATTTTAGAACTTCATATGATCGTATTTATTCCACTATCAGATTTATTTTTCTCCAAAAAGTATTATTAAATAAAGGAAAAGCATATTTTTATATTAATTCATTTAAATTATCTTTGAACCATAACACATTTCAATAAACATGAGTACTGATTGTATTCAAAACAAAGATGTTGACGTTTATTTTATTGAAATATGACGTCACATGATGTTCCGTAATGGCTGCCCACGTTTCAGTTCTTGTAATCCACAGATTATGAATCGCAAGTTGATTTTGCAAGAATAAAATATCATTACCAATTTTAATTTTTTCAAACAAAAACCTCTACAAATTGTTCTTTTCATATAAGTTATAATTTCCAACATATTCATAATTTATCGTTACAACTGTCAAGTAGCCAATGTTATCTATATACTGACCGTTGGTCCAGTCCAGCACGAGGTCGGTCCAGGTGAGCTCCATCTCCTCGGTGGTGTTGTAAGGGTCGAGGGACACGTGCAGCAGACAGGTCATGCGCGCGCAGTGAGCGGTGAGCCGCCCGTGCATTAGCAGCCGAACCTTGTCCCACCAGGCGAGCGGCGCCGACGGGTCCAACGACGGACGGGACACTTGGTCGAATGCTGGACACACAAACACCCAGTCTCGATATTGATAACGATCGCAGAGTTCACTGACCGAGCTGTCAAACTATCGCTAATTCGACAGTTGCAGTCGGTACGTGCCTACCCGCGAAAACGCTGCTCACCATATTCATGATACAATTTTTCAAGAAATAGAACTGACTTCAGCCTCTTAAAAGTGAAAAAGAAATATTATTTATAACTTTTTAAAGTTTGGAACCGGATCTATTCTTTTTTTAAATATTATTTCATGTTTTTAGTGACATTGATTTTTTTTTTGCTAAATATACGGCATTTTTTGTTTAGTTTTTAAGAACCCATTCGATTTCAATATATGGGACCACATAAAGCCCATAAGCTGTCAAATAAAAAATAATCATTAACATGGGTTCATAAATGATTGATTTATCTGCAAACAAAATTTACACAGTCCAATTTAGAAATCTCCTCCTTTTTTGAAGTCCGTTAAAAAATCTTGACTTTTAATTTTAATATAACAAAGGTAATCATGCTATTTAGTGACTGCAAATCATAATATGTGTATTTATTTATTTCAATGAATGTAAGGTTTAGTTTTAGTGCAACTGGTGATTTATTTTTCAGTACCTCTACTCCCCATCACTCACCTAGATTACACTGCGCAATGACCGGCTCCCAGCATGGTCCGAACGCGTAGCTGAACTGCGCCATCTCGCAGCACAAGTCGTAATACCACTTGAGCGGCATCATACTACGCTCCAGTTCACATTCACCCCAAGGTAAACCTTGATCTATCACCACCGTCCGCAACGCTAATGTATATAATAAAAAAACATGAATTTAAAAGAAAAACTACTTTAAAGAAATGTCCAAGAACAGCTGAGTAGATTTGTTAATTTTGGTTTGAATAAATTGCCGTAGTCCTAAGGTTTAAACGGTGAGAAGTGATACGAAGTACACCGGGTGCATGTAATTTTAAATAAAATGCTTAAAAACAGCTATCTTTGGCACAAAATCAGGTTTAAAAATATCTAAAAAAATCACTATATCTGCTTTTGTTTTTAATGAATAAATATATTTATTAACGTATTCGAACTCGGCATTCCCTATAACTAATGCAAATCAGCGTGGAAAAGACTACAATCAGTATCAGACTACATCAGCGTATTACTAACACTAAATTTACTCCTGAGATCTTTTATCCGCATGAGAAATTCAAGTTAGAGGCCATCCATAAATTACGTCGCACAAAATTCATTATTTTAAATTATACTAAATATTGTTCTAATGTCACAGTTCCTCGACCCCCCCCCCCCTCCTAAAGTGTGACGTAATTTATGGATGACCCCTTATGGTAAGAGGCTTTTCTAATTTGTTTTTTCCTAAGAATAAACTGTACAAATATCAACATTAAAAGCGGTTTTTTATTTATCAGAAACTGTAAACCTACACCGCTAACAAGTTCGTCTATACTAATATTATAAAGAGGACAGATTTGATTGTTTGTTTGTAATGAAGACCCGAAACCAATAGACCGATTTTAAAAATTCCTTCACCTACGAAATAGCTACACCATATCTGACGAACAAAGGCTATATTTTATCCCGAAAAACAGCAAACAGAGGTATAAAAATGGAAGGGGGAGTTCGTATAAAGAATTAAAATGTTACCATAATAACCAGAGTCATTGTAATTATATCCGTGTCATGATATGAATCGATATCCAAATAAACAGTTCCCTAGAGACCACGCGAGTAAAACTGCCGGCTGAAAGCCGGTAGTTTACATATGGCAACTTGAAATAAATTTATAATAAAACAACCCTTCGCATTAGCTAACTCTCGATCGATTATTTGAATGTCCTGTATAGTTATAGGTACCTCTGGTGGGCGGCAGCTCCTCGGCGGCCAGCAGCGTGCCCCACAGACGCAGCGCGGCCATGCTCAGCAGCGGCTGCGGGAAGTCGCGCAGCAGGATCTGCCACTGCGCGCACGCCACGCTCACCGCGCGCGCCCACAGCGTGGAGAAGCCCACGCCCTCCTCCGGCCACGGGCTGTATCGATCAAACGTCTTATATTATAATCCCCGCGAAACGCTAATGCGCCTAACCGCCATTGTGGTGACGCGATCGTGTTCAACGATCAGTGCCGTTAACGAATAAACACCGGTCGACGAATACACTCGTTTTTGTTGCTTTCGGTTGTTATTTTTAAGTTTACGAAAATAGCAACTAGTATTATGATTTAATGTGTCTTATCTCACAATAACTTTTGACGATGTTTTATTAAATCGTCCTGTGGTTATCTCGTTATTAGAAACAAATAAAATGTTTTTCTTATTCTTATTTATTGTTTTCCTTACCTCTTTAAGATATAAATTGCCCTTTATATAAATTCTTGGAATGATTTAATAAACTATAAGTTATAGAATTATTATAACAATATTTTCAAATGACGTCACGCGGGTGCTATCTAGACAAGGTTCCAGCGTGTTCAGTAATGTCTGGTTGTCAGGTTGTATATATTTACAATCGCTAGACAGCGATGACGTTTCTGTGCCCTATTCTACATCACATGTGGAAGTATTTGATCAGATACATATATATCTATCTGATCAATGAGTTTATTTGAATAAATAACCTTTGCCATAGCTTCTGTTTACAATTTTTACTTTTATGAGATTTTCACACGGCGCATTAGCAATTTGCGGGATTTATACACTCCATAAATAAAAATTACACAATATCATATACATTGCTCAGATTTCAAGATGAGTGCTGAAGCCAACGTATTATGGAGTATCTGAGACAACGAAAGCATCCCGAGACAATACCGGAAATTCCTCTTTCTACATTGACCCGACCGGGAATCGGTCCTATGAGATGGCGACACCTTAGAAACCGGCGTGCGAGCGAGTCGGCTCCGAAGATCGTCCAAGATCATAATCATCGTTATCAGCCTATGGACATCCCTTGCTGGACGTTGGCCTCTCCGAGCGCCCGCCGTTCATTTCATCTATTTTAGACCTTTGTTTTTGCTTGATTTTTTTTAGCTATTTTTTACACATTCGACGGAAATATAAATACACGTATAATTCTAGCGGGTGGAGTGAAGACTCGGTCTCGCATCACAGACTTGTAATAAGTAATAACTAAATGATTTTTAAAACAAGTCTATTATACTTTACAAAATCAAGTAGTTGTTAATCTATTTAGGTAATAGAATAATAATAATAATCAAACACTCAAAAACCATATTGATTTAACATGTCAATCGTGTAGTCGTGTACGTCACGACAAGCGCGCCAAATAATTCCGGCGCTTCAAACCGCTCGTAGTTAGTATTTATTTCAATCATAAATTATTATTACTAAATTATAGTATTTCGATATCGGGTATTTTATACAGTTATATAACGATGTAAACTATCATACGAAGACATGTTCAAAATATGTGTATATTGGCCTATTATTGAAACGGGAGATAATCAAACAGAGACAACGAATGTCGAATGGCCTCCCGAATCAGCACCGACCATCTGTCCGGAGCGTCCGGAGCGTCCGCACCTGTCCGGGTCCATGTCGCGCAGCAACTCCGTGGCGCGGCGCGGCCCGTGCGTGGAGGGGTCGGCGAGCGCGAGCAGCCGCAGCCCGCTGAGGCAGCACGCCACGAGGCGGGAGCGCGGGGGGGGCGCGGCGCGGCACCGCTGCACGTATATCTGCGCGTCCTTCTGCCGCAGCGCGCCGTACAGCTCCTCCACTTTGCCCGCGGGCAGGAACAGGTGAGGCTTGCACAGCTCCTGCACCTGGAATTTGTCTGTTCGATTAGTGTCCCAGCTCATCCACCGCTCACTTGAGCTGTGGATTATGCTTTACCCGTGAGAAGCGCGCACTAACGATAAGGAACATTAGCATAATTAATGCACGATCAGACTTTATGACTAGGAATATCTCATTTAGTTATAGATTTCGCTTAGAATCAAAACTGAATATGTACAATAAATATTACAACACCCGCTTGTTAGTAAATGTATTCAATGATTTATTTGTGCACCGTAATAACTGTTTTTTTTCTTCTTCATTTAGAAGGAACTTGTTCACAGTAAAACGTTAACTTTACCAGAGGTTGATGTATGAATCTATATATACTCTTTATTGCACAAAAAAAGAACATAACAATACTGGTGTATTGAGCCTAAACCACAGTAACAAGAAAAAATGCGTTTTTAATTTTTCATATCGCCTGAAAGCCCAATTCAAATTGTACAAGCCAAACTTTTTTTTTCTTTTATAATCAAGGTGCCAAATTTTGTAAATTTATTTGAAAACACGCTAAGATTACCAACCTTATATGCAATAACAATTTTGACCTACTTACTACATTTTAAATAATTTAAAAAATAATATAGCATAAATATGTAATTTAATATGGATCATTGGGTCTGAATTAAAGATTTATTATTATTATTATTATAAAGCTAGATGCAGTTATAGGGATTAAAAATTGCAATGGCTATAATTAATTTATTTATCATGTTTTCAACCTGAAATTTGTGAACTATTTTAGAAATCTAAATTTTCTTACACTTTTCATTCAAATTTAATCATAAACAATAACATTTGTTTAAGATACAGAACATCTAAACTTCACGTGCGTTTTTCTCGGTTCTTGTTTATGCTATTACTGCAATTTAGACTCGGGATCAGAATAGTAGATAAATAACAAGCAAGGATCAGCAGTGTAGCTCGGTGGCGTAATGGATAAGCGCCGCGGCCCGCGATCGTTGTCATTGAAAAACTTTCGCAAGGGTCAGTCACGGGATGGGTGACCATACAATTATTATCTCGAGCTACTCCGTGCTTCAAAAGGCACGTTAAGCCGTTCGTCCCGACTGCATTTGCAGTCGTAAATACCCTCCAATCCGCATTGGGCCAGCGAGGAGGGATATGGCCCATCCTCCTTAATCATCCATAAGGAAGGCTCGAGCCCCTGTAGTGGGGACATAAAAAGGGCTGATGATGATGATGAAGGGTCAGCAAAGATAGCGGTGGTGGTAAAGCAAACTATCACGATTGTAAAATTTAAAGTAAGATTATTTAAACAATGGTCATAAATGCCAAATGTATAAAATAATTAATCTATTTATATAGATATGTCGGGAGAATGAAATGCGAGTAACAAAGCATTAAACCAATAATTATGTACCACCGATTTCGCTACTTTACGTACAAACAATTAACTTTGACTGGAACATTCCACCGCCACAAAATAAGAAAGACATTAAACTTTGTAATTTTACCGATACTACAGAAAATTAAAAGTAGATAGTTATTAGTTAGTACAATATTTTTAATAAAATACCTTCGCATCCAACATGGTGCGCCTCTTCTGGCTCTCCTTGTACTCGTCCTCAAGAAGCTCGTAGTTGTCGCGTAATTTCACTTCGAATGGGTCGTCGCTCATTTCGATAATAATTTCCTCGATCTATATCAAACAAACGTACAAAAGTTGATAATATGTTGTACATTGATATAATTACTGTGTAGAGTAACTCGTCAGAATAATTTTAACAATAATTTAGGACCACGATCTGTCAGAATACTCCTCGTTCGGATTTGTGCGAAAATGAAAATGCGTTTATTTTCAAAATGCTAATGTCACTCCAAAGAAACACATTTTTCGATAATCTATGATGCAACAAATGTATAATCTAACACTGTCTCTGATACACAGAAAATCTTCACAGATATTAGTGTAATTTTCAGAATTTTAATTCGAAGTCAAATAGAATAGGCCTCAGGTGTCATGTTAATACGGGTGTAGACAGTAAACAAAAATAAATACATATTATTTTTTCTGTTAACGTTTAATATACTATTATCGATAATCACACTTTCATGCTAGTTATATTTATAATAATGCATAAAACTAATTATGAAAAAATAAATATTTCATGGTCGTTGGCACGTGACCGCAAACAGCGTGTGACGTTTCATGACTCATATCAGAACTTAGAGAATTCAACCTTATGCATACATAGGACGACACTCGTTTCAGAGTACCGTGACGTCATAGCGACCCCATGATGACGCGGCATTATCACGGAATATTTAGAAAATCATTTTTTTAGATTTAAACTTATTATATGAATGATATTTTTAATATATTTCATGTTTATATATATATAAATATTTTATAAAAAGTTGTCTACACCCCTATCCGTTCGAGTTGTACATGTTTAAAGATCATAAATACCTTAATGTGTAGGTCACTGGGCAAGGGGCTGTCAGCGGTGCTCGGTTTCTTCTGTATGCCGTGAACCATCTTCACCCATTTCAACAGCGATACAAAGTCACCTTGCACCGATTCCGCGAACCGATGCTTGTACGGGAATATCAAACGAGCCGAATTTATATTCACACACCTGTATACAGAAGTATCTTCATAATCATTGAACAACCGAGACTCTTCGACGAGAGATAAGTTGGAACAAATACAAATGTTAAAAATAGAAAAAGTCGAAGTTATACTGAGTTATGTTTGAGCCACTCAAAGCATCTTAATATGTATAAGTTTAAGAATTTGGGTTATAATCAGAACAGCGATAAAACAATACTCTCGCTCACCATACTTTATTCCATGGCAGCACGAACCCTTCGTTGGCGTTCCTCTCGACCCTGACGTCGTGGTCGTCAGCGGCTCGCGCCATGTTGTAACCCTCGACGGTTACCAGTTCGTCGCCATTCAATAGCATCTTCAGCTGCGTCCACGCCAATGACAGGCCGGCCTCGTGGTCGTAAGCTACGGTCAGGTCGTCTGGTAAACATAACAAAAGCATAATAATTTATAACCATTAATGTCTAGCTGGTCATGTGAGCGATTAAAGATATCATAATTATTAAAAAAATTAAGTACAAATTGTTTTGACTCTTAAGTAACTGAAAATAGGAGATATGAAATTGAAAACGTTTAACTTTACAACAAAATACATGCGAAACAATGAATTAATGCAACACTGGTGGGATTTTAATCAGAAACTTACCAGTAGCAAACAGCATGTTATTGTCAGCCGACAGTAACAATTCCAAATTGGTTTCTGCCTTGAACGACACTTTCCAATCTAGCGCTCTCTCTTTCTTCTTCTGTTCTATAGAAGGAGACGGAGAGACTTGTCTTTTCGCTGTCAACTCTTCTTTAAATGTCTTTATGCCTCGCATTAAAGTAACTATCTTTAGATGCAAATTGGCACTCCATTCAATATCGACGTTTTCTAGGAACTGGAAGTCTAATAACGTCGAGTTTCTACTCTTCGAAGGTATGTGTTCGATTCTCGCTAACTGAACGTACAGTATCGAAGACATGATTTCGTCTGAACGTTGACATTGGTAATTGCCTAAAGATAATAAGAAGATTACTAAAACAAATTATAACAATATCACAAAAAAGTTTAAACAGATGTTTATTTTAACTTAACGACTTTGAACATGAACAAATTTAGAAAAAAAAAATGCTGACTTTATGGACCACTAAATATTCAAGAGTCGTACTATGTATTAGTATACTTTTTATCATACAGTGAACAACACCTCAAATCATCCAAATCAGTATGTTCAATCTATTAAAAGTCTTATATTGATAACGGTTAAGTTTAAAATCGATTGAAAACTTTGACATTCTGTAGAAGCCAGGTGTGCTGTCGTATATAGCTATGTACACCCTTCACCGCCACCGGAAAAAAAAACAAAAACATACGGTACGTAGGGGGCTTTAAACAATTTCTGAGCAACCCTTGCAGACTGTACAAAATAAATTTTCCGTGTTTTCTTAAACATAACACTGATATAAACATAATATTTTGGAATAAAATATGTATAAAAATATTGCGAGTTACACAATAAAATAATTCTGTTTAGTCAGATGCAAAATATAAAAAAAAATAAGCAGATAACACAGGAGTTGTAATATCGAAACTACCCAACAGTTAACAGTGAATACATCAGTCTATACTCACCTTTATAAGGCACCATATCGACCACTTTGAATCCAGAAACGACCGCCCCAGATTTGACTGTCGTCTTCTCCAACGTGACCGCGTCCACCCTAGTCATTAGGCATACGTCCTGCTCCATTATGAAGAACAAGTTGATGTGTGAGAGCGCCACGTTCACGGCCACGTTACACGGCGGCGGGGGGGCCGAGGCAGGGGAGGTGCAGGGGGACACAGGGGCGCAGGGGGGCGCGGGACCTTTGTACTCCTTGATGCACTCCGCCAATGAGACTATGGTCGCCGCAATGTCGGCGCTCCATTCCAGCCGAAGACAATCCATCATGGCTTCCACCTTCATAATTCAAATAAATATTAGTTTGATTTCTAAAATTCAACCACAATGTGAATTTAAGGACAATTGCCGTAGTTTATTGCATAATGTGTGCGTGTGTTTTTTAGGCGTTTAAGTGCAATATTACAACTCTTTAAGTTCTGAATTTTAAAGATATGTAAACAATACTTATACAATGGTAAATACAACAAATGAGGCTTGCCGATGTTCTAATGCAGATTGTGGAAATTTCCAAAATATGGTTTATTCTGGTTATTAAAATAGCGCGCCATAACCATCAAATCTTGCGATTAATTTTAGACATGCAGCATAAAAAAATAATTTACGTTTATCTATACGGGACTCCATTTTTTCTGCACGTATACAACGTGTCCCAAAATTCAACGATAAGCGGTCGCCAAGAGGTAGACCTGCTCATGTGTACTTTTGGAAAAATAAGAAAAAAATTATATCTTATTAATCTTTTTTATTATAAAATAAAATTCGAAAATTTTCGAAAGAGTTGTAGCGAATAGTAGTGCTACTTAAGTATCCGATACCAAAAAAAGATTGAACATAATTGAGAAGTTGTGGTTGTGGTAGTTGAAAATATCATAAAAGGTGTAAATTTTCGAAGATTTTCGAATTTAATTTTATGATAAAAAAGATAAGATATAATTTTTTTCTTATTTTTCCATAAGTACACATGAGCAAGGGTGCCTCTTGGCGCCCGCTTATCGTTGAATTTTGGGACACGTTGTATATATCTTAAAACAAACGAAACACAATTATAACTTTGGTTTTTTTTTTTTGAAGAATTAACTATGTGTAGCTTAGTATCTTGGCAAGAAATAAAGAAAGGAAATCTAATCGACATACAGTTATGTAAATTAGTATATTCTCGTCCGGTATACCTTGGAGTCAGTGGGTCCGTGGCTGCCCCACTTAACGAGCGCGACGGCGAGCAGCGCGGAGCCCCACGAGTGGTGCCTCCTGGCGGGGGGCAGGGGGAGGGCGGGGTCCGCCCCGGGGGGGCCGCACGCCGCCCACCCGCCGTCAACCAGTAGCTCCGCGCTCCAGTGCCGCCGCCCCACCACCAGACGCGCCATCGCCCACTGGTACGGCTCGTCTGTGACGCATACATACACTGATGAAATCTTGTATTGAGAGGAATCGGCGAGAAACTCAGCAATGACTGCTTTTTCTCCCTGGTTTATTACATACAAAGTCCAATTTGTGGAACGATATAACGTTCAAAACTATGAACATGTCTATGAGGTCTGTCTGTACACCTGCACAGATTTCTGACACGCTATAGTTGTTTTTAATACCACCGGGTCCCGAGACGTTTCGGAAGTAATTATAGACGACTATCTTAAGTACATATATATTATGTTTTCTTTTACAGTTTGTATGGGTATACATTTAATGTGTGTCAGGGTATATTTGTATATGTCGAGTCTGCGTGAGTGTATGAATCTGTGTTTATTTATGTGAGCGGGCGTGCGAACGTGCTTGCGTGCGTGCACGTGTGAACATGCGTGTGTCTCTCAAAACTATATTGCCTCATATCTGCATGCGCTGTAGTGTATTTCTTTGTTGTTTCCTTCAAACCTCTAACGGCTTAAACTAGTATATAATGTAGGTAACCTCTAGTGTCGAGCAGCTGATCTAGTTTGAGCTTGAGCCCCCCGCAGCCGGCGGCCACGCGCCTGTCGCGGGGCAGCCGCGCACGCGCCCGCACCCCCCGCACCTCCGCGCACCCCTGCACCACGCAACTGCCCAACGCGCGCGACAGCACACTGCTCTCCGCCCACGCACCTGCTTCACGCAAAATGCGATACACGAATCACTTTTTTTTTTAATTCGCATGATGTTAACTGTATTTCACCTATCCAAGATAATGGATTGCTCTTTCGATTTTTGTTCAAGCGAAAAGACGACCTGAACGAGTGGTAGGAAAACGAATGATGAACGATTTGTTTTCGAAAGACGTCCTGAACGAATGGTAGTAAAAACAAATGATGTATGATTGCTAAAAGTACTTTCAATAAATTCATTTGAATAAAGATTATTTTGAATTTGACTTTGATTATATGATGTTTTGTCTAAAGGAAGTTAAATAGTTTGGGATTACATAAACGAGTATAAAAGCTACAAGAAGCTATTATATTTCTAACGTTTATTGAGTGTGTCAAAATGGTTGGTGATGTGATCTAAAACACAAGTTTTGTTGTAGGTCGCTGATTGCACCTGGTATCTGCTTGACATTGCTGTAATGATTTGATTTGCATGATTCAGACCTTAGTATTTAATTTAAAAGATCTGCCGAATGTAAGTTCCCGACTCATATGGCAGAGTTGTTTACAAAATTGTTCTCCTACTCTCTTAGATCTTCTCACTGTCTCTGCTCTTCAACATGTCACTAAACATGGACAATTTCCAGTTGATGCCGTCTCATATCATGACCTAATTTTCCTTTCATATAAAATTCGTCCACCGAAGGCCAAGCCCACAATCCTGTTGGAGGGCAATTTTAGTGGTGTTAATCTTGACAAACTCCGTGCAGAATGATCTCATTTTTTCAAAAGCAACTCTGTGGATGCTAAGGTAGCAGAAACTAAAACAAGACATAAGTGTCGCCCCAATCCTGCTTACTGGGAAAAATATGTCAAGCTCCGCAGTCATTGCAATAAGGTTTGTAAGAATGCACAACGCCAATATGATCTCAAAACTCGAGTGTTTATACATAGGAGAACTAAAGGTTAAAGATATTAATACACTCCAGTAAATTCCTGGACAAATATTTTCAAGTTCAAACTGCTCGTCTCTGGTATAGTTTGCAGAAATTATAAAGCGTGCACAGACATCGAGTCAAAGACCACTATCTGATATTGTGAATATTAATAAATTTTCATTATCTTTAGCTATATATTAATGTTATATATTTGAATTTACCTACATTAAAGTTATCCAATCTTTAACAGTTACCTGGGAATAATCGCTTATTAACGTTAAGGCCACCGATTGTTCCATATATCGAATTTGTTTGTACTATTTAAGTCATTTTATAAAGGTACAATAAAGAATAATTCATTCTGTTGCGGAAACCACACAGAATTCTATCTTAAATCAGCGATGCGGGTTGTTTATTTTCGACGCACACAGAACCTTCTACAGATCTAAAGATTTTGAAACAAACTAAAGATTTAATGATAATAACTATTTTGATTGATATAAAACAAAAAATGCCAAGAAGCCTTACATTTGTCAGATTCCCTGAGATACATGGGCGCTGGCGTCTCTCTCTCGGCCATTGAAGAGTACCAACTAAACACCTGACTGTGATCATACATCACATTCAAAGTGCTGACAATCAGGTACAAGTTCAATACGCCTTTCTCCAACTATGACATAACCATAAAGACGAAAGATTAATGGTGTACTTTTTATTTGATAAAAAAAAACTCTGTACTAAAATGGAAAGAACAGACTTAGCAGTATCCTGCCACTTGAGTTCGGTACAATGGCTGCATATAAAGCAAACACTGAAAATGGAAGTGACACGATTCAAAATTTAGTAATACAAAGTTGAGAATGCCTTTGAATAGATCTTAATTAATTGGCTACATGATAATTTAAATAAAATTATATTAGTGTGTCCAATTAACTATAGATATACTGAGAAGAGCGTTTAAAATTTTCATTCCAACCACTATTAGGTTATATTTCTCCAAATAGTGTTATTAAATGAAGGAAAAACATGATGCTATTCATTAATTTAAATTGTCCCGCGAAAACAGTAAGTCACGTGATATTTAAGGCGTTGACGTTTAGTTTATTGAGTTGTTACGTCACGCTATCTAGGCCGCCTTGGCCGCACGCGTTTCGGTACAAAATTGTCAGTAAATAAAGTTTTTTTTTTCTAAAATAAAATATGCTTTATTGTAGTTATTGTTTACATATCTGGACCTGAAAAGCATTAGGTCGGATGTGCAGAACCAGCTAAAATCACTTATCGCCATAACGTTGCTACACTCTTTTTTCTCTTTCCGGCAAATTAACTCTTGTATGTTTGTGCCTTTTTACTCATGAGCAACAGTCATGCATAAAGTCGGATCAGACGACTTTTTCAAATATTTTGATTGCATTTAGCTATTTCTGTTTTTATACAGTTTTTATACATCCGACCTAATGCTTTTCAGGTCCAGATATAAGTTACCATTTCAAAGAAGCATAAATTGATTTTATAACGATTGATATTATATTATCAGTCGCCAATTCGATTGCACTAAAATTTAAATCGCATAAAATTCATTCTCAGGGAACAATATAATCTACGACGTAGATATTTATCTACGTAACAATATAATCTACGACGTAGATAAATAGTTTAACATTCAATAACTAGTAGCTCGGTGGCGTAGTGGTTAAGCGCCGCGACCCGCGATCGTTGTCGTTAAGCAACTTTCGCAGGGGTCGGTCACGGGATGGGTGACCAAAAAATTATTATCTCGAGCTACTCCGTGCTTCGGAAGGCACGTTAAGCCGTTGGTCCCGGCTGCATTTGCAGTCGTTAATGCCCTCCAATCCGCATTGGGCCAGCGTGGAGGGTCATGGCCCATCCTCCTTAACCATCCATAAGGAAGGCCTGAGCCCCTGCAGTGGGGACGTAAAAAGGGCTGATGAATTGTTGATGCTCATAGTTGTTGCATATTTTTAAATTTTCATATTCGTTACTTTTAGTAGATCTTTTCTAGTAAATAAATAAATAATTTGAACAATACTTTTACAATAAACAATAATAATATGAACCTTAGCGTCTAATTTGAGTTTGTTAATGGTTACGAGTGAGTCATCATTGGCGGCGCAGGAGAACTGGTCGGTCTGGAACGCTACGTACACCTGCGGCAAACCAGACCGGTCGCCCTCCGTAACGGATGCCGCACTGAACCTCGAGTTCACCTAAACGGAATTATCAAATAATAAATGAATATATTAGGCGACATTATATGCATTGTACAGAGGTAAATACGCAGCAGAGTGGTTCGTTGTGGTACGCTGGTTTCTAAGTATCGGGTTAATGTATGACCCGACCGGGAATAGAACCCTAGAAATGAACTTTTCTATATCGTCTCGGGTTTGGGTATTGTGATACTTTCGTTGCCTCGAGGACTTGTTAAGCCTTGTTACACTCTGTAAACGAAATTTTTGATATTACAACAACAAACGAGACAAAATAAAAAGGTAAATTTTCTTCATACATGGAAATGGAACCCGCTACGTCAGAAATGGCGACACCTTGAAACTGACATGCGAGTCCCTTGTCGACCTATAAAAACTATGTTCGTTAGTTTTCAAAAAAAAAACACACCAGCACATTGAATTACAACAAAATTTCAAAAACCTATATTTATTCTACACTTAAACATAAATTATTCAACATTAAAATCAATTAAATTTGGAGTAAAATTTCAATTTTCTTCTTCGGAAGGCACGTTAAGCAGTTGGTCCATGTTGGACTGCATTTGCAGTCGTTAATACCCACTAATTCGTGTTGGTCCTGCGTGGTGGGCAGAGTGATCGCGGCCCATTCTCACTATTTGATTTGACTCCATCCATAAGGAAGGCCTGAACCCCAGCAGTGGGTACATTTATAGACTGGTGATGATGAAACTCAAGAAAATAAAATTAGTATAAAACAAGCACATACTTGATAAAGTGTGTGCTTGTTTTGATTTAGTTTTCATTTAATTGTGGGATACCACAGAAAAGTATTGAATCAACATAGGATTTGATACGTTTACTAGCATCACTCTATAGATCCGGCCTTGTATCAATTTAAAAAGCACACAATAAATTAAAACTGTAAGTATCACCACGACTCGTTTCTTTAAATATGCTAATTAACCATTAATTGAACTACTCCTGTTGTGGCTACTGCATTTTGGACTTACGACAACAAAAATATATTACAATATCTTTTTGTCAGGGACTTCGCGTGAACTATACTAATCCTTACAAAGATACAGTTAAATATTACGTTAAATCAATGCTCGATTCCTCCATTTTCATGAATATGATTTGAAAAATACAGTAACAATTATTTTACAGAGTAACAAGTATCTGATTTAACTAGGAAACCTTTTTAATCAGATAAATTTTAACCTGCTTAATTCTAAGTAAGTCTTACATTCTAAATCATACCAGTAAAACATACAAAGTTGCAAAATTTTGATGAAAGTGGCTACACCAAACTTTTAAAAATAGGGCCTAACAAAAGTAAAGTATTAAATAATCAAACAATATATAACAAAAACTAAAAATAAGTGTGTAGATATATTTTAAAAAAATTTATGGATACATTTGAAATATATTTTAAAAAATATAGTCAAAGAATTATCTCTCATATATTAATTTAAAATCTGAAAATAAAATTCATGTTCAAAATTCCCCGCTAAAACGCTAACCACTATCATGGCCTCGACGTGACGTCACTGCCCTGTGAAATTAATGAAAAAATAACAACAACAAACATCGTTCTATGTATGTCAATATCAAAGTCAAATTTGACATTTTACTTAGAGGACTGTAACGTCACGCGCTGTTTACATTTCCAACTTTATTATATTAATATTATGATTTTGCCGGATGTCTGCAGCCCATTTCGAGGCCCTGGCGGACCGGCACATCTGCCCCCCATTAGTCCGCCACTGCTGTCTAAACCCGCATTTTAAACACATAACTACCTACGCATCATCAATGTTGGAGATATTTTTCCTATAACAAATAAGGGAGGGAAAGAAGGAGGAATGAAATATACATATTGTCAAATCACTCAAAAGCTCTTACCTGGCAACTTTATTAAGGAAAGTAAGCAACACATAATTTTTCCATTAATCTGGATGTTTTCTCTCGATATCCATGAATAACAAATTAAGAAAAAATTATGTATTGTGAATATTATTTTATGGCGCTCGCTGCTGATCAAGTTAGCAGCCTAGTTCTAAATAATAAATTAAGATGCTATTTAAGTTATAAACTCTGCCACGGTCATATAACAAATAAGAGAAAATGTAATAAAAAATAATATAACTTACATGCAAACTCTGTAGAGATATTTTGAAATTAGTTTTTGTAATGTTATCTATGCATTTAACTGTTGTTGTGTCAATTCTTAAACTAAATATCTGAAACAAAAAATAGTCAATTAATGTAGATTTAGAAAACTCTATTGCTGTATGTGGGTCTCGCTAAAACTCAAGAATGGCCGCGCCAATTTTAGTGTTTGTTGTATTAAACAGTGAGTGGTGATACCAAGTACAACAGGTCAACTAGTTTATAATAATCTTCAATCTCAATAGAATACAACATATTACAATGTTTTATTATATAATAAAGTTGTTGTAAAACACAATAATCATATGAGAAATTTATGATTGTTTCAGTTACATTAAATGAAAATAATCATCTTTTTTCATCTAATAATTTCTTTTTATTATATCAATAATCTGTAAAACATAAAAAAAGTTTATGTATAATTACGTGAAATTAGTATTGTAATAATAATAAAGAGAGGGCTAAGCCCAGGGGCAGATATTGAATTTGTGGGGATTAAGGTTATAGGTATCCTAACTGACAATCGCACGACGCGGTCGCGCGACTTTAGCGTTTCTAAAACTATTCACTCGAGCCTTGTTCGTATGAACGCGCGATCAAACATATAGACTTCGAATAAGTGTCCTAATTGAATTTCGCGCGATATTTACGTGGGCGTAAATTTTATATTACAATAGAAATTACCTCCACAAATTAAAAACAATCACTACACTACATTTCTGATTGGGTTTTGAATTCCGATTTATCGGACCAAATGTGTAATCTGTGAATAAGTTTCTGTATCAGCTCTATTTAAAAAAAAATATGACTCGTCTTTGTAAAATAAAACAGTATATTTTTAGATGTGATGAGATCATCTGGTCTCTGGTCGCTCGCTTGCTTGGGCGCGAATGAGCCCAGGACACCCAGTTTTTGCCATCATGCAAACACGCGATGATCGCGCATTTGCGTTCTATTAGGACTACGCCTTAATTATTGCTTAATTATTGAAGTAATTGTCATTTTGTTTATAAAATTGTTTTTAATATTACCTATTGTAGAAGTAATTATATATTGTTTTTATTGGGGTTTGAGAGCCCTTTGTATCCATTAGGCCCTGGCCACAAGCCCCTCAAGTCCCTAGATAAATCCACCCCTGGCTAAGCTGATGCACTACAATAATACTTTTTATTTTCAATCAATAATATTTAAATCATTAAATTAACCTTTGGTATCACAGGTGATAGCCGTGGGATAAGAGTAGCAATATGGTCTTCACAAATCACATCTTTTCTGATTGATGCAGGTTTATATTTTTTTTGTTTCTGTACAAATTGATAAAGTTCGTCTTGAATTGCAATTGTTGTATTATTTATTGAAGCATGGATTTTCTGAAAAAAAAAATGTCTTGACATTAGTAGAGCTACAAAAATTCTACAAAAAAGGATATTAATAGCTTACTTTCTCTAATAATAAACTAAATAAATAAAATGCACTACATATGCATGATAAAAACAAAAAAATTCTCCTGAATAAATAGAGAAAGTTTGATAATAAAGCCTATACCAATATGAAGTAAAATTAGTTATTTATTTAAGTTGTGTATACTAATAGAGGAAAGATTGATTGTTTGTTTGTTTGCATCAAAAGAGTTTGAAACAACTGGACCGATTTCAACAATTCTTTTACCTATAGGTAGCTAAATCATACAGGGTTGACATAGGCTATAATTTCGTAAGTCGCGGGAAAACAGCTAAAAACTTATAAAAATATTTAAATATAAAAATATATTTTGTGATAGCTTATCACAGTAATACTTTATAATTCTTTGCTGTTTATCACCTCTACATTCAATGGTCCATCAGCTTTGACAGTGCCTTCAATCAACAAACTACAGCTTCCTTCTCCAAGACATTTTGTTTCCTTGAACACCTTAACAGTTAGCTGCACTAAATTGGCAGAAAATACTAGAGCTCGTGCCGGTCCACCTGCTGCACCATCGGCATGTACTTCAGATGCAGTGACATTGATGGAACCATTACTCAATGCCCCATCTCGTAAAGTAACAGAAGCATTGAAAACATGTACTCCCATAAACTGTCAATGATATACATAACATAGTTTATATGAGTCTGTTTTTTATGGGAAAATTATGTAATTTATAGACAGTTATACCGATTATTCAATTGTATACCTGTGCAAACATAATCAAACTGGGAGGCAACTTTTTTTCTCTGAAATCTAATAATTTTGCTTGGCTGAGTTCACCAAGTCCTCTGCTTAGGGATCTGAGATTTACTGTGTCATCTTCTACCCCATCCTTGTTGAGAGAGTTTTGCTTTGACAACAAGGGTTTGAGAATCGTGTCTACCATCACACTACGCTTAGATTCAACATTATTAGTGATCTCAACACCTTTGATAATCACCCATACCAACTTATTTATCTCAGAATTAAAAAAACTGCTGCGGAATGAGATTTCATCAATGTGCTGCAAGAAAAAAGTTTTCATACATGTGTTACCGAGACGTTTAAATAGTTATAGACCACAAGACTAGTATTTGAATCTACAATTACTCACCACAAAATATCTATCTTTAGACAAACTAACATCCTTTAGAATCAATTTTAACACCGAAATTCTACCTATTTTCAAGTTAATATGATATTTTCTTTTAAAAAGCCACGATAACAGAGCCGGCAAGAGCCTAAAAAGGTACAATACAAAAATTTAACATCAACAAACAATAACAAAAACAAAAAAGTACCGACTTCGAGTTGTTCACTAAACTGACCAAGAAACGCATGAGTAAATAGCTACAAAAAATAAACACAATATTAGTAACACGTTCATTGTGTATTTACATTATCATTTCGCTAGATTTCGAAAAAAATCTGTAAAAGAACTAATTTAAAAACAATCGCGATAATAAAAATAACCTCCACCGAAGAGTAGTGTTCTAACCTCTACTCGAATGACTGACAAGCGATGCGTGTATGTGTAATTAATCGAGAGTTCAATTCAAATCATTATCTGTCAACAATTAGTAGTAATAGCCCAGTTAAATTGGATACACCTAGCACAAATATTATGTTAAAATATTATAATACTGAATGCGAATGTCCTTAACTTTATTTCACAGAGACTTAACAGTCAAAATTGTCTTTTGTCAGTATATTTTACTAGAAGACATTTTTTGTTTGTTAGCCATTTTCAGGCTAAAATTAATTGTTGTGCTGCACAATCTTAACTGTACTTATGTATAGGTGCTGTGTGCTCTCCACTCTCTACTTCGGATACAATCAAACACATATAGCTCAATAGAGCCGAAAAACTAAATATATAAAATATAAATATATAAGTACATAAGTTGTGAAAACCTTTATTTCAAAATTACACTTTACTATGACTTTATTTTGAATTGGCGCCGACTGTTTAATGTTTGTATCTTTAGAAAATTAATAACTTTCAGATATTGTAAGTTAAATATTTTTATATTAGTAAATCAGCTTATCATAATATATATAATACGTCGTAATAAGCGCCACTTCAGATTTTTTTTTTAAGGATTTTATATGAAAAGTCAAACTTTGCTTTGTAATACGTCGATAGGTCAATGTAAAAAGAGCCATAATAAATGAATTTTGCTGTATGTCTTTAATAAGACGTATTTCTGTTTCTTTTTCACATAAATATAAAGCAGCAATTAGTCTGACTATTATGTCATAATCATAATGGTCCGGTTCATAAATGGTGACTATGAGGAAGTATTTGAAAAAAAACGAAAGCACTAAAAAAGCACTTCCACTAGATGACGACTCTAGCAAAAGTTGATTTTTGCAGGAAACGAATGGACCAAAGACAGTCGTTTCCGTTCTTTTTAAAAACTAATTTAATTTTAAATATAAAAGAAAACTGGAGGGGTTGTCATGGAGAAATCAAGAACGTACCGTAGCGACATCTAGTTTGATTTCGGGAACTAATGCTTTTATGCAAATACTTCCTCATTAGAAAAATATGTAGAATAAAACTCTTTTTTAACTTGTATTAGAAACAACAACTTTTTTGAAAGTATTTTCTAAGCCTACTCACAAATTCACACTATATCTTATTTTAAAACAGTGAATTATGAGATTGAATTGAACAAATATATATCTCTGATGTATAACCTAGATATAGGTTTTGCTATTTATTGCATAGCTAGTTGGAGAAAGCACTGACACTCATGATCATTGAAAGTCAATTGAATTGATTTCAATTTGAGCATCACTAATCCAGAGACAAATTATAGAGTCTGTCTCATGAAACAAGTCCTGCTATATAACTCTTATTTCTTTGTAATAAAAGCGTAAACAATGTGTTCCGAGGGACTTCTTTCGTGAAACGAACTATAATAGAAAGTTCAATCTATGAGAAAGTTATAATTGTGTAATTAATTTATTTAGCAAAGGGATCTATCTCATACAACCTATCTTAGAATAAATAATTTTAGTTTTCAATGATTCGATGCTGCTACTTCTGCTGAACTTTTAAACCACTCGAAAGATGCAGGAAAAAAGAAGTAGTCTATACGCATTCCCACGTTTAACTCACGTAACGCTTTTTCCGTCTACATGCTACATCCACCATGCAAAAACTGCATGTATGACTCTTTACAAGTTATTTCTTATTTTATCCGTCAGTACATATTTGGCATTTTGTCTTTATTCGGCCGATAAGTCGCCCGACCTTGAAATGAAATCACTTTAATTTAAAGAGAACTAAACGAAATATGTATTTGCTAAACATTATTAAACTAAGATTTAACAGTTGAGATAATAAAGAAATACTTTTCTCCTTTATTAAATTAGTTTAGCGAATTATTACCACTACGTCCCAAACTGATAAATAGAGAATTAAACGATGCCTTATTTTGTTGACAACGCAGACGAAATGCACCTTTAGCCTTAACCAGGGCTCTCCGACCCCACACTTGTCCTGAAAGGGCAATAGAGAAAACCTATGCCCCAAAAGTGACGAAATTTAATTAATAGGCTGATAATGATTACTTTATTTTGATCCTAGATCTAGGGTCGACAGTAGAGATGGGTCGTTGACAAATTTTCCGTCGACGAAACGAAGCCGTTCATGGACCTTGATCGACTAGTCGATCAACTAGTTGATTTTAACTATAGTTGACATATATAACTACGTCAACGGGTATGAACTTTGGATGAAGTTTAACGGTCTAAATTGTTTTATTGAACCGTATATCAATATTGAAAAGTAAACATTGTTGATCATCTGTACCTGGTTATGGTTTTTTTTTCGTGTTAACGTAAGAATATCTATTGTCAGGTAGGTTATGGTTTTATTTTGTACATCTGTGGTTATGATGGTTATGAAGGTAAGGATGGATGGCTTAACAGTTCCATGATTTTTTTATTGTCGAAAGACAGCGCTAGTATTCTAATTAGATATTGTTTTGGGTTTTGTAATTTAAACGAAACCGTATTATTAAGTCTTCGCTGTCCGTCCGTCTGTCTGTCACCAGGCTGTATCTCATGAACCTTGATCGATAGATAGATAGTTAAAATTTTCACATAAGATTCATTTATTTTGACAATAATGAACAAATACTAAAAACAGAATAAATGTTGGCTTTTGTTTAATAAAATAATGTTTTTGCTCGATATCGATACTTGCAGCGAGATGACCCTTGAAATATTTACCGAAGATTTGTCCTATATACGTATTCACTTTAAAAATAAACAGTTAAATTAAAATAAAATAAATACTCAAGTTGGCTCCCGTACAAATACAACAGATTTTTTTTTTGCCGTTTTATAATGGTATGTACGGATCTCTTCGTGTGCAAGTCCAACTCGTACTTAGCCGTTTTTTAAACACACAGTTAAAATAAATATTATGAAATTTTTCTGTAATAGGATAATTAATTTAATTAATAATTAATTAAAATAATAAATTAATGAATCACTATATAATTCGGATGCAAAAAAAGACAAAAAAAATTGATTGTAGTAGGAAAAAGTAAACTTATACTAAGTAGTAAAATTCTTAACACCGCCATGTCAAAAATCGTATAACACCATCTATCGGGGACTAACGTAAACAAACAAAGTCTAACATGTATTTAAACAAGGCCTATGTATTCGATACGCGTGTTCAAATATCTACTTACTTCCTTTGACTTTAGAGTGTAAATTATTTCAGCTGTCAAAGTTACATAAAATTTTAATAATGGAAACAACCGCATTCCATTGTATTATACAGATTAAGTTATGCGTTGCAGTTTCGTAACATGTTTATAGATGAACGGTGCGTTCTTCTTTTAGCCGCCGACTTTTTAACTGGTTGTTTTATTGTATTATACGACAAAACTAAAGCGTTGTAGTCTAGGTGTACGTTTGAGGCGGTGGTGATGTAACTCCAAATAAATTATGTTGGATTTTTAAAGTTTTTATTCACCACTCACATGTGTAAAAAGTAATAAAAGATAAGCACAAAAGTACACACAATGCTGTAGAATAAAGAAGGCGAACGTGAGCAAAAAAGAAATATGAAACTACTACAGGTTGACATCTAATAATATGAACAATAAATTTTAATTAAAACAACGCGTGATACATGCATCTCAATAATAATAATCTGTGGACGCGACTCTCGTATTTCGCGGGCTACCTCACGCATGCGCGAGCCGCGACGCCGCGCCGCGCGGTCTCACGCCTGCGCAGTAACCGCGTCCCGAGCTAGTGCGAGCGCCAAAATTATATATAAAGAAACTAGATGTGTTTGTCCTTGTGTAACACATTCAAACAAATACATTAAATATTATTTCTTAAATTTAACATGTTAAACAATTTTATATATTATGTTATTGAGTATTTGTACATATAATTTAATTAAATATAATATTTTTTTTATAATGTTTACTTTGACAATTATTTTATCTTTTGCATATACATTTATTTATATGTAGGTACACTACATCACCCCCTTCCAGAGACCGTCCTACGGGCGATAATAATCTGGAAATTGAACCCGACGACCTGATTTAGTAATTTTAGGAATGTTATCAGTGGCAGGTAAGTCATCACATACTTTATGTGTAGACGAATGAGAGTGATTGTGTGAGTATGAGTTGTTTGAGATATGAGGTGTAAATGTTGTGGTATCTGGATCACGCAGTATGTATGCTGGTTTTAATCTGTCAATCGAGACAGTCACTGGTTTACCATTTATTGCAATTTTAAAAACTTTGTCACCTCGTTTTAGGACTTCGTGAGGTCCGGTATATGCTGGTTTAAAAGAGGCAGCCCCTGCGTCATCGCGAAGGAAGACATGAGAAGCAGTGGTCAAGTCTTTGAATATGAATGGAGAGCGTGAACGACCATGACGCGAAGCTGGAGACGGTTGCAAGTTTTTAGTGAACATGTGAAGACGTCCTACATAATCTGTCATGTCGATTGTTTTATCTGTACCTGGTTGAAAAAAATCTCCTGGCAGACGTAGTGGTTCTCCATACAGCAATTCAGCAGAAGATGCCTTTAAATCTTCTTTATAGGTGCTACGAATACCTAATAAGACAAGAGGAAGAGACTCTACCCAACTGCTGCCAGTGTGGCAGGTAATTGCAGCTTTAAGTTGCCTGTGAAACCTTTCCACTAACCCGTTGCACGACGGATGATAGGCAGTGGTACGCTTATGTTGGAAGCCGGCAATATCAGATAGGTGCTTGAACAATGCCGATTCGAATTGTCTCCCGCGATCTGTAACAATCTGTGTTGGACAGCCGAAGCGAGAAATCCATCCACTTAAAAGAGACCTTGCTACAGTTTCCGCTGTAATGTCGGATAATGGTATTGCCTCAGGCCATCGTGTAAAACGATCAATGGCGGTGAGACAATACCTAAATCCATGCGAAATGGGTAATGGTCCTATTAAGTCTATGTGTATGTGCTTGAATCTAGCGGAAGGCAGCACAAAGTTTCCAATAGGCGATGAAACATGTCGAGTGACTTTGGACCGTTGACAAGCCATACAAGAACGAACCCAATTTTTGCAGTCTCTACGAATTCCTGGCCATACAAAACGATCAGATACTAATTTGACAGTAGATCTCGTACCTGGGTGACTAAGCGAATGTAGGCTCTCAAACACATGGCGACGTAAATCTTTAACAACAAATGGACGTTTAGTATCACCTCTTACATCGCAAAATAATTCAAGATCAGTTCCAGGCAGTTTCACTTTTTCAAGGCGCATAGATGTATCGGAGTTTAAAAATGATTTTAATTCGTCATCTGAACTTTGCATGATGGCTAGCTTTTCTATGTCAACAGGTTTTACTATTTCATCAACGCGTGAAAGAGTATCAGCTACTAAGTTGTTTTTGCCAGCAATATGCCTTATGTCGGTGCAAAATTGAGATATAAAATCTAAGTGGCGAAACTGTCTGGGTGAACAATTAGCTTTGTGGGAAAGAAATGCAAATGTAAGGGGTTTGTGATCTGTGTATATCACAAAATCGCGAGCTTCTAACATATGCCGAAAGTGCTTGATAGACTCATATATGGCCAATAACTCCCGGTCGTATGGAGAATATTTGGTCTGAGATGGGGACAACTTACGAGAAAAGAATCCCAGTGGCTGCCAGACGTCATCTTTGGACTGTTGTAAAACGGCTCCGATAGCAGTGTCTGATGCGTCCGTGACTAAGGCCAATTTTTCCTTACAATCAGGATGCACCAGCATAGCAGCTCGACAAAGATCTTCTTTACACTCTTCAAAAGCTTCCAGTTCGTGGGCAGATAATTGTACAGGGTGAGAACCTTTTACCGATCCAACCAGAAGAGCGTTCAACGGTGCTTGGTGTTGAGCAGCTTGTGGAATAAACCTGCGATAAAAATTCACCATACCGAGGAATCTGCGTAATTCTCGAACTGTTTTTGGAGTGGGAAAATTCCTAATAGCTGTTACCTTTTCTGTAGGTGGTTTGACGCCCTCAGCCGAAACATGATAGCCTAGAAACGTGACTTCAGATGCTCCAAATGTACATTTTGCAGTATTAATAATCATGCCATACTCGTTTAATCTGCCAAATACCTGATTAAGATGATCTTCATGAGTTTTCTGATCGACAGAAAAGACCAAAATATCATCAATATACGGATAAACGAAATCTAAGCCCCGCAGCACTTCGTCGACGAACCGTTGAAACGTTTGTCCGTATATTGATGATATTTTGGTCTTTTCTGTTCTTTTAATTTAATTAAATATAATATTTTTTTATAATGTTTACTTTGACAATTATTTTATCTTTTGCATATACATTTATTTATATGTAGGTACACTACACGTTGATCAACGAACGTAACGCTCTTCATCTGATCATTGAAAATTCGACTAGTTGAATTATCAACTATAGTTAACGTATGCAACTACGTCGACAGGATGGACGTCGACGGATGGGAGTGTGCGTTTATTTATGAACTACAACCAACGTACACATATTAATCTTATTGGATGGACTATATAGACTTTTGCAGTTGACCGAACTACTTCACGTTAATGGATATAAAAAATAATATAATATTTATTTTGTGTAAGATCGTAGTTACCTAGGTGTAGGTCACAGAAATATTTCTGTGGTGTAGGTATAATAGAATAAATTTAGTTTCATGTTTTTTAATAATTAACAAAAAAATTTTAAAAAATATTTTATTATATTTATCAATATAAATATTATTTTTCGTTTATAGTGATATGCTTTACTATTTTAACATAATATTATAGATATACTGAACTTTAGGTTTTGTTTGTTTTGGTTCAAAATAAAATTATTAATCTTAATATTCAAAATTATTCATATAACTTTATATATATTATTCATATTCATATAACCGAGGAAACCCTAATAAAACACACAATTGGACGAGTATATGCAAAACTAAAAAAAAAAAAGTCTGATATCGCAACAATAGTTGACCTATACTAATTAGTAAAATTCTTAACACCGCCGTGTAGATAAATACAAGAACTGTATAACACCATCTATTAGAAGCAAATGTAAACAACAATCACATTTGACATTCATATATACAAGGCCTATGTATTAAACGCGCGTATTGAAATATTTACTTACTGCCATTTACTTTAGAGTTTAAATTATTTCAGCAATCAAAGTTACATCGAATCTTTATGAATGGAAAATGATGCGTTGCAGTTTCATAACATGTTGTTAGACGAACGGTGGGTTCTTCGTTAAGGCGTCGATTTTTCAACTAGTTAACCAAAGAACTGTCAACCGTCGACGCGTTGATTCTACGTTAACGGTTGATTTAACTAGTCCGTTGATTCAACGCCCATCGCTAGTCGACAGCTTCACTCTCTAGCTACGAATCTAGACATAAGATATATCTTAGCGTATTTATGGCGATATTTCGTTTCATTTCACTTCCTCAACTTGTACACACGACTGAACGTTGGTTTACCATAATATGTCAAATTTCTATATACAATTGAATTGGAACTATATCTTCAATCTCTTATGGTTTAAAATCAAGCGGGGAAATTTTATGATAAGCGAATGAAAAAGAACCATGATTACAAAAGCGAATTTGACAGCATTGTAACTTAGCTGTTTATCTCATTTATACACATATTTTTGAGTGTCTATAATCTAAGTTTATCAATCAAAAACTTTAATTTATAAATATATTATCGGATTATGCAAACAAAATCAACATTTCATTCTTAATTACTTTATTATTACTACTACATATATTCTATTGACAAAACATTCAAGGCCAAGACTTCTTGGCTGTATAGCCTTCATATTTCTTTCTAGTTTTTAATCCAGAAACTATAGTTGACCTTTTCGGGAAAGCTGATACACCATTAAATAGGGTATCTTTATCTGGAATCAATGAAAATTCTGTTGAAGTTTATTATTATAAACATTGTAAGAGTATCAATTTATCTATTATAGTGGCCACCAGTGACTTCGTCCACGTTTTCCATTATTTCTTTGCTCCTAATAGTTGCAGCGTGATGTTATATAACCTAAAGCCTTCCTTGATAAATGGTCTATTCGCCACAAAAATTGTTCAAACAAACAAAAAACTCTTTAGCTTTAAGTAGTATAGATTTAGTAATTTTTTAATGCACAATTTATTAATATTGCAAAAATTTATGAGATAAGCTTATTATTATTAATATATTTAATACCAACCAGGATGAAACCGAACATAATTTTCTTGTATATGTAGATTTTTTGGTAACTCCATTTTAACCAGGGCATCAAATGGTGTTTTTGTGTCAACAGGAGTTTTATAAAATTCTTTGAGGTCATCTGAAAATCAAATATTAGCACAATACATAAGAGATGAATCTTTGTTTAAATGATAATTATTCATTAAAAATTAAGTCATTTATTTATGCTTCAAATAATACTGTAAAGCATTGCAATTTGTAAATTATATTAAACTAGCTGTTGTCCCATGAATTTTTTCTTGAAGAAAATTTGAAGAAAATTATTGCAACCATAAGGTTGTAATAACCAGGCTTCTTACCAACAGTTTCTATTGTGTGCAGCAAAGAGTTTGGAACACTGTGTCCAGTTTCTTTGTAACAAGCATTTAGTACTAAGAACTTTTTATCCAGGCCATCAAATTCTGCATTGGCATCGAGTCCATTACTAGTGCAAATTTTAAGTACTATTTCCTCAATGTCAAAAGGTGGTTCCCACTGTTTATTAGGACGCAGAAATCTGGAATATTAAAATTATGCATATATCAAGATATTATTGAAACAAACATCATAAAACCTCATTACATAAGGCATGAAATCAATAGTTTCACATAACACAAGGTAAGACAGCCAAGAATCCCTTGGTGCTATTATTGTTAAAATTAAAATTTTAAGAGATAATGGAGTGGTAAGTTTATATTTATATATAATATATATGTTACTGTTTAACCCTGTATGGTTAAATTTAGGTTTTACCTGAAAATCTTGGTATTTACAATTATTATTTTTAAACATCATTAAAATATACCTTAATCATTTATTGGATATTTCAATCATCAGTACATCATACTAACCTAACCAAACCAGTAGAATGATGCTGATTGCACCAAAAAATTCCATGTTATAATTTGGAGATGTCTATCAGTATATATCATGGCCCTAAAGTAAAACCTAAGATTTACAGAGTGCATAATGGTAATTTGAAATGAACAAAACGATTCAGACTTTTACCGTTATGCACTTGGTAAAATATTATAATTTACAGAAAATTCCATTATCAAATTTTAATGCTTTTAAAGTACGTATAATATTCATGCTTTTACCCTTTGGGGTAAACGCATATAATATACATACACATAATGTTTTAACGATTATTAAGCGATTATTATTTAAGTGAATTTTTATACCCTCTAGCAGCTAGTGACTCTGCAGCGGCCTGGAGTTTTTTATCAACTTTAGGCACTTTTTTCTGTTTATACCTTACAGCAACTATCTGAAAATTGAATTATGCTGCGTTTATACATTGTAAGAATCTTTAATAGGACATCATTTCTAAAATTATCAAAACCTAACCTGAACATTAGTTCGCCAAGATGACATTAACACATTTCTTAGCATATTTGCAAATCTAATTAATATTACTGTCAAGAAATTATAATTGAATTTTACTTTTTATATTTATTTAATTGGAAATAAAAATGTAGGCAATAAAAGAAGAAAAAATAAACAAATACATGTGTCAACTTGACAATCTTTCTTGACGTAATTCACTGTGCTTCGTTTCGTTCGTTTTATGAACTCTATCAGAATAGATGTCTGTTCTGTTCGTTTTTAGTTTGAGCTAATAAATAACTAGTAGTTTATATGTTTTTAACCAGCATTCAAATAAATCCATATAATTTCAAAGATGTATAATTTGTCAAATAATAAAAATTCATATTTATAATAATGCAACCAAATTGTAACAGTAAAACGAAACGTTGATTCTAAGTTTCTGAACGAAACTTAGTTCTCAAAATTTCCGCTATGGGCAGCACTATCGGCTTGGGTTGTTGTTTCCTATCCGCCATCTTCCAGACAGTCGCCATTGAAAGGTGAAAACTACGCTAAATGTCGGTGATGATTTTAAGATTTTGAGTGGTTTCTTTAAGATTGAACCTGTTTTTAGTGTTGTGAAATGAAAATGAAGTGTTCAGGACTACCATGACGCATCAAAATCACCAAACAAACGGTGCAAGTCTTGAGGATTGCCACACAAACTTCTTCGCCTTGGTAAGTCACTTTTACATTGATGAAAGAACTCGTATGTATTTCTTTCGAAATCAGTCTGATATAAACGCGATATCTAAATTGCGCATTGTTTTTCATAGTAGTTCTGTTATGTATTTAGCATTTTAAAATAATTAGTTCATGATATTCCGATAGATGTTCTGATTCCTGTTTGCGGACGCTGACATACAAAATTTACCTTATTGCGATATGACAAGCACATTGATCTATTACGTTAAATGCTTTTATGGAACAATGTATGTTTAGGCGACTAATGACGCTCGACCGTTAGTCATCCTGGCATCGTTCTCACCAAAGCAAAGAATCATGTTGCGTTGCTAACCCACAAAATGTCAACGCTTTCGGTGAGCGAGGCCACAAGAAGCCACCGGTCCATAGAGGTCATTTTAAATTCACCTGGCCGTAACGTAATGCGTTCGCAAGACTAGTTTCGCCAGCTTGAGGAAATAGCTTTCTTGTTATATTTTATAAGGCTGCGTTCGTGATAGGGTGTCATGAAATTTGTTTACGCGGGAGCATGTAAAGGAGTCGGGGTCATTCAATAGCGCAGTGTTGTCGCTTTGCGTAATGTTCATAGCTGGCGCGAATTTTATCAGATTGTTCGGATGAAGATTAGCGGGTGAGCGGGAGGGCGGGGCGGGTGACGGGGGCGGTCGGTCGTCCTCGGCGAGACCGAGAACAACACGGGCGCCACTTCCACCTGACGCGTTGCCACATCTCCGCGGCGGCGCGCGCCTGCCTGCCTGCCTGCACCCGTCCCCGTCTCCCTCGACGCTCCGCCTATCTTGCCGCGATACAAATTACAGATTTCTTGCCCTGCCTGCTTATTGTCTAATTATTTATGCGTCGTTTGCGGACACCACAACTTTTGTCCTGTGGAATTTTCTCATACTCGCGTTGACGAGAGGTGACGCATCGCGTCGGGTGCCTAGTTTGTCATTGCGAGAGTTCAATACTCTCTGATCGCAGTGTCGTTTACGTTTTCACTGTAATCGAGTAGCAGTATTGTTTTACATAAAATTTGGATCAAGGGCTCCAGTCGTTAGAAGCCGTCGTTGATTATTATCTGATGCAACGTGACTGGCTCGTTTGGTTTTTTGAGTGTGGAGCAGCGGCGCGGCGACATCTGCGCTGGTGTCGCGGGGTCGGCGCGCGCGCACACCGTTTGCTCGGCCGGCTGCGCAGGCGGGCGTCTTGCGCTCATTCAACCGTTTATGAATGGTCGTAACGATTGTAACTTTCCCATAAGCGGGCCTCCGCCCAGGCCCCAATTGCGTACTCGGAGATTGGTTGGCATAGTTACCTTTGTCTTCTAGTATCTTTATAATTATAGGTTAACATAATCAGATTGTTAATTTGGTATATATTATATTCAGTGTTCTATCACAGACTGATATTTATTGTATATATTATTGTTAAAGAAACTCTAGTATCTACGTATATTGGCGTAATATTTTTTGACCTAGATTCCCAAATTCGCAAAAAAAAAAACCTTCAGATTTACTGGTAAGGCATTTTCTCATGTCACATCCACTTAAAAGTGAGATTTTTTACTTGATGAATATTAAATAGGGGTTAAGAATACTGAATGCCAGTAAACCCGACTCCCAGAACAGCTATCCGCAGGAGACGACCAACATCGGCCACGGGCGCCGAAGTCCGCTTCTAAGTTATTCATGCCGTGAGCCACAGCCTCACCCCACACTCCGCCACCCCTGTGCATTAAAAGGATACAGCTTTACCGTAGCTTTGAAAACACCACTTGTTCCTTCAAAACGAACGTATTTAAATAATAAGAAATAATACTTGTTGGAAATAACAACAACAAAATACAAAAATATAGATTTTTCACAATCAACATACTAAATAACTCTTATTCTGTTTGAATAATCGCTTCAAAATCACTCAATTAGTCATCCTCTATAATTAAGTCAATTGGCAATAGTAAAACACAGTCATAAAATTATATCAATGAATAACACATAACGACCGAAAATGTATTTTTTTGTTTATTTGCAAGTTTCACATCTGGCTGATTTGTACGGCAGAAGTCGAAGCACCACAAAGTAAATAAATTTGTGATTACAACGCAGCCTGGTTTCGGTGCCAGCGTCAAGGTCGAACAAAAACTGCTACCTGCAGTTCGAATTTGTACATTACCTGACAAACAAGAATTTGACCTTTACGCCAATCGTAAAAGAGTCGCTTGTTTAGTTTTCCACCGTTCCGATCAAGGTGATTAACTCCCTTGTCCAATACTAACTGGAATTTATGGGTCACAGAAGTCATCTGGTAATGTCAAAGAAAAGACGCGCCTTATAATGATTTCATAAAAATAATATTATCATATGAAATATTATACAATTTCTTGATTCAAATGTTCACAACTAACTCAACATTCGAAATGTTTTACAACAAACGTCGACCGAACGTACTTATAGATTCTAACTGGTTTGTTACGTAATAAACCTGCGATTTGCCATGTACCCAGTTTATTTGGTTTTTGTTCAATTTAAATAACAGCGGCACCATAGTTTGTTATTCTAGTGGATTGGTCTGGTCGTTACAGCTTATCGCTACGCCGCTGTCATGTTATCAAGGTCTGAGTGAAAACGGTGGCCGTCGCGGTTCCTTATCATTAGTGCTTCACCGTCGACCATTAATTGACATTTGTTGGAATAAAACAACATTGTACCGACTACACAGTCGGGGCGAATGTGCGTGAGAAATTATTCGACATCTATCCGATAAAACATAATTTTGCGCTTCGTACGGAGGTGCTCAAACGATTACATACATACAGATTGCTTCCCACCTATCGAGTTTCTCTGAATGCATTTGAAATATTGTTTTATTTGTTTTTGAATCCGTTCGCGCCGACCAATGGTAGTCGTGATAACTGCGACACACCGATATGACACTGATAACGCTACAGTTCTCGGTGACGCTATCTTTTGCTCCTTAGTGTCGCACGCTGAAGTCAGAAATGTTATTGTTCTGTACCACGGCTAGGTTTCGATATTTCCACTGCGAGCTTTCTGCGATATGTAATTTTGCAAACGCATGACTCACTTTCAGAGCAACGATTTCATTACTCAACATCATAATTCGCAATAACATCGACAAAACAACTCCTATAATATAAGTACTGCGTTTACGAATATGAGGTTCTTAATCGTAATTTTGTTTTATATAAATTATTGACGCATTTGAAGCGGAAAAATACTCGTAATACTTACTCACCTTCGTACTCCCTTTGCGTCGTGATAATGATCATTATTAATTAAATCTGTCGCTATTTGAGATGCTATGAACGTACTTATTGCGTCTATTGATGTAAAACGAATTATTCCTCATGATTTCGTATGTGGAGTATGCGTCAGCGAAACTGATGAGCGATAACGTATATTTTATTGTAATACAGACATACACCAATAAGTATTATTTTGAAATCGTTTATTGTAACATAACTTGCCATGAACACTAATCTGTTGATATAGAAATAAATAAAACTGATTTCAATACTATCGTATGTACTCGAATTCGAGGCAACTGTCGAGCGCAATTCTATCAAGGATCGAGTTTAACTTGAATCGTTTCACAGCATTGTCCTTCGCCCACTTAGTCGTCGAATGCACTACTCCAAGCAATTGTTTTACGGCATCTATGTATCGGTTGAATATAAATATTACAAGGTTACTTGTTGTATTGCTTTTGTTCAGAAAACAAAAGTAATTTACGTCGCAGTGAGATAAAAATCTTTATATGCGACGATGTAAACACTACTTCGATTATAAATCAACTACTGGTTCAATATCTCACACTTTGGTATTGTAATATTCCACTGGTAAGCATGCTTTAGTTTTACAGATGTCACCGTTACTAAAGTACGAATGAGCTCGAGATAATAAATTTAATATCTTGTCGGATGATGACGGAAGTTATTTAATTTAACCTCGGCCAATTATCGACCGATCGCGCTAACCACTGCACCGATCGTGTTTATCAAGTTCATGGCGGTGTTTCGTCACTTTATCCATAAGTGTAAATCTTCCTTTTCTTGTTTGTATTACAGAAGTAATATTCTGGGTCAAGGTTCTGTTTTGATGAGTGCGTTCGAGGAAAACATTGTTGTCGCTCTCTTCTAGGTGACCGGAATTGCCTCTGGCTGTCTGTATACACAATAAATAAACGATTGTCTCAGTTCACTAAGTCCATACCTCAGATTAACAATACATTATGATATAATCCAATTTATATTTTCCAATTGACGTAGTGAAATGTTTCAGTTATATGAACAGTGAATTGTATTATATTTCTATGGATAATTACATTTTATATCGGTATTTTCAAATACGTCATACTTTTAGTTACATAATACTTTTGCATAATGTATACAAAATTTATATAGCCTTCCGGAGGCTTTTTATTTTGTTTCATTGTTTACTGTTTGTATTTATCTTCCTGGGGGTTGTTTTGACTGACGTTTGTCTTGAGCGAGCGTTCTATCAAAATACAATTAAGGTCTTCCGTTAGATTAGCGTCGGTTCGACCTCGGCCGCGAGCGCATTATGTGGGTCAAGATAGCGTAGAGAGCGCCACCCGCCCGCCAGAACACTCGCCACTTACTGGTCCCGCTCCAAATAAACTGTATTTACAATTTGTGGCAGTGAATGAAAACGAGATGCCGGAAATATCCCGTTAAAACACTTTCGCATAGAAGACGCATCGTTAATCCACTTAAAAAATGTTATCTGCATCATTAGATTAATAGTTTCGATCGAATAACATTTTTTTCATTGGACAAATTGCAGCTGTTGCGATTAAACGCTCGTGCTGTATACACTTTTGCTGATATATTTTTTACGATACGTGTAGTGATGTTTGAGAAGCATTCGTGATTATATCACGTTCTTAAATCACGATAAAGTTTGGTAATCTCTATAAACACGTAGTGGGCCCATTTATTAATCAGTATTCAC